GCAGGAAGCATTAGTATCCTGCCTTTTACAGTGCTTTCTGTCCTCTCAGCACAGGGAGGCTTGGCTCAAATCCATCTGTGAGCCTGCGTTATGCACTTGTGGGGAACAGCACTATGTGACTGAGAAGATGCCACATGATAAAAAACAGGGTCTTAGTCAAAGTAAGATTAAAACATGCTGATAACATAAATGACATTTTTAAAATAATCAAAGATGGCAGATTTTGCTGTCTGTAACTGAGCAGGCTTTTTGACTGAAACAGCACTGCGGAAGTCAAATAGTGTCACAAAGAATTGCAAATTACATTCCCCAGCTCAGCATGATCTGGCCTAGTACAAACAGCTTTTGCTTAAAATAGATGAACAGAGGTGGGTTCATCCCAGCATTCATTTCATTCTACTACAAAGAATCCATACAAAATCAGTTTTTCTCCTTGAACCGGTGGTAGAACTGTGCAGAGATACAGCTACAGCAGTCATGCACCTTCATTCACAGGGGAAAATCTCCATGTTCCACATGGCAGGGAGGGATAGTTTTTTTATCAGAAGATATTTCTTTTTCTACTGAAAACCTTGACATTTAGTGAGAAAACCAAATACTCTTATGTTTGGGTTTTCTTGCAGAAAGTCATCATTGTTGTATAGGAAAAAAAATAAATATAAAAAGAAGGTTGGAATTTCTTAACAGAAGTTTGCTACTAATTGTGGTAGGATGGAAAGTGGCAAGGACAGAGCAGCTGAGGTCAGTAATCATAAATACACTTAGTTAGCCCTAGCTCCCTCTACTCCCCACCTAGAATCATAGAATCATAGAATATCTCAAGTTGGAAGGGACCCATCAGGATCATCGAGTACAATTCCCTGCTCCTCACAGGACTACCTAAAACTAAACCATATGACTAAGAGCATCGTATGTATGCATGTAGCTCCCTACAATACAGGATTTAACCCAAACCAACTTCTCTACTGTTTGATTTATTTTGTATTTAATATACGTTATATTTACTATATATTATATAATCATGGTGGTATATTAAGCATAAGCACAGATGGGAGCTGTATTCCCGCTAATTTTCAAAAACTACAAGGCTCATGTAACAACAGCTTAGAAATCAACCCAGTCCTGAATGTTGTGGGCAGCAGTGAAGCCCATGCCAACTGGGTTTGGGCTCTGTGGTACAGTCTACATTGTACAAGATTGCTAACACGCATGGTGCAATATCCCTGCGACAGCTTTGATTTGTGGTGGCCGTCACTCTTGACAAAGAAGCGTGTACATCAGGAGTGGTGTACAGCCAGGTGGATTCTTTTTGGCTGGTATACAATAACCATTGGAAAGGGAAAACCACAAGCTGTCTCCGCAAGCCTGGCACATGCTGAGCTCAATCCTGCAAGGTGCATAGCACTCTTCATGTCCCACGGAGTTCAGAAGTGCTCAGCACCTTGCTAAACTGAGCCCCTTGTGTTTGTCATATGTGTATGATCTATTGTGTGCTTTCTAGCTTCTGCGGGTTTTGCCTCTTCAGAACCATGTCATTTTAGCACAGTTTATTTACTTTGGAAAGAAATAGGCAGTAATTTTAAAATACCTTAAGTACCTCTTGAGAAGTGCAGAATTATATGTTACATCTTGTCAAAGCAAGTAAAACAGAATGCTCTTTAATTCTTTTTCTTGTGTTGTGATATGGTTTAGAAATAAATAAATGTAAATATTGTATGCAAAAAAAAAATGCTCCTGCATTCAGCTAGCAACTAAGAACTACCACATCGTAACAAACCATCCTATCTGTAGCATTCATAAATAAGTGAATGAAACTAAGTGATTTCAAAAGCTAGTTCAGAATACCTCAATCTCCACACTGACCACTGACACCTACATCTCCTTTCTGCCTTGAGTGCAGAATGTACTGTAAGCAGAAGACATTTCCTGTTATTTAGTTTTTCAGGAACAACCTGATGAAATCCACATTTCTATAAATGAAAAGCCACTTTATTCTCAGTAATTTAATCGGCATTTTTGAAGCATGATAAATAATTTCCACATTCTGCAAGCATAAATTTCCTGAGCAATAGTCAGTACTTATAGAATGCTGCTTAAAAGTAATTGAAAGAATGTAAAGGGGATTTTTAATATTTCACGGAAGAACTCAGGTGCTTAAAATGGTGATATTTATAATGTACTGCTGGGAATCTATAGAAATTTATTACTAAGCACAACTGTTTTGAGGGTTTTGGTGTTGGTTTTTTTTTAGTTAATGTAATTTAAAAATAAATAACATAAATCACCCTCATTGGCTCATCAGGGAAACCAGCTTTTCTTGGTCTATCTTCACGACGAGTTCTCAGAATCTGTTTGGCATCTTTTTCAGTCAAAATTGGTGAAGTGTCTAAAGACAGAAAAGCAGAAATTAGTTCTGAAATTATTAAAAAGTTAATATTTTATCTGTCAGTTGTAAAATGAAATGTCTCCAAACCTGATTTTTGTCTATATACAAAGTGTTCTTTCATTACAGCCCCTTCCCAGGGGATATTGCATTCCAGGAGATATGAGTGGAATTTTAAACCATTTTTATACTTGTGCTTTCTATAGTTTTACCAGTATGAAGAAAACCCTACATATTCATTTTACTCTCTAAAATGAGAAAATATAACAGCACCATCTAACCACTGACATTAGTAACTCTTCCAGTTATTTGTTCTTTTCTGTGTTGCTTTACTTTTTAGGACTATTTTTCAAAGTAATGAGTTAGACTTTTGTTGCAAAGGAGAGATTGCATTGAACATTTAACTTGCAGAACCTTGGCAAAATAATATTAAAATAGTAAGATAGTAAAATGAAACTTTTTGGTTTTATAATAAATGACTCGAGTGTGGTAATGCAGAGAGTAAAACATCAGATACAAGAGCATGATTGTTAAAAATCAAATCAAATATAAAAATAGTTAAGTATTAAAAATTAAGTATGAAGATACTAAAATACAAGGTGGATGAACTAATACTGTTACAGTATGTTCTGCAGCTTTACATACATACACAGGTTTGTTTTATATAAACTCCTACCTGTAAAAGTGGTCATCAGGACCAAATAGGAGACAAACACAAGTAACTTCTTCATTTTGATTCTGCTTTCTCTCAGCCTGTTCCAGAATGAGTAACGCTGGCTGAGGTATTAGCCTATTTGAAGTAGCTACGTCAGTCACAAATGTTTGTTTATGCTTTAACTAATTTGAGTTGATAGTTTGATTTTGAAGACATCTGGCCTGAAGTTTTGAATTAAGCTATTATCTACTCGCACATTCTCAGCATAACTCTGTTCCTGAGGGAAAGAAAATAGAAGACCTTTTTTTCCACTTCAGGTTTCAGAGTTATACTGGATATTTTAGATCTGTGAAAATGAAACATTTCACCTTACATTTGGCATAGCAAGCAATGGTTTTGGATGCCTAAGGTAAACAATTGTTTTTTAAAAGAAACAATTGCCTGTTACTGAATGTTAATCTCAAAAGCAGCTGCAGAGGGGCCCCTTTCTCAAAAATTGTCTCTAACTTTACTCCAGCACAGAAGTACATATTAATGTGGTTTAACTCTACCAAAGCCAAATTATCACTGCTGAAAAACAAGGCAGAGAGATTTTTATCAAATTAATAGAACCATACAAATGAAAACTCACATAATGCTTCTATTTTCAGGACAAGTTAGTAGGAAACAGGGTTATAAATGTGCTTACTACTAAACATAGTGTGAAGTAAGAATGTAGGTTAACAAATGTCATTGCCAACAGCTGGTTTCTGCCTTGAGAAATGTGACTGTCCAGACCTCTCCTGGGCAGCGCTGTGCTGAACATACGGCACCAGCATCACCAATTTGTCCGAAAATAAATAAGTGTCCCTTTGAACATAGTGTATGAAATAAGAAGTCAGAATTCATCAGCAGCTCTTCCACAAGGGACGTGAGTAATTAGCATTTCCCCTCCAAGGGAAAGGTGCAGCACATCCCCATACCCCCACACCACAGGGATTCACCCAGGGTTTGCCAGCCCAGCTCTGAGCAGGTCTCTTCATTTGTGTCTTTATTTCCTAAAGAAGTGGTGTTTATTCTGCCTGTGCCACTATGTCTGCACAAGCCAGCCAGTTTCAGTGAAATCTGATGGAGAGCTGTGGGTCTCAAAAACGTTAAGATATACAGAAAGGTTCAAAAAATCAAACAGTAGGTCAGAGAGCGGGTCTGTGAATGCCCCCTCAGATGGACACCTTTGCGGTGTCTTTAACTTCAGTAGACAGCAGTGAGGCATGTCTCCTTAGCCGGGCTGGATTAGCACAACCGCTCACACAGTTATTTATGAGTTGATAAAATTCTGACAGAATCACTGGCTAAAATGGAGAGTGCTGTAGGTGTGACGGCTTGACCTGAGTGAAAGCCAGTGATGAGAATGAAGCTTTCAGGGGTTGGGTAGTTCTGGGGTTCTGGCACCTCGTTGTGGGACTTTTCTTGGACACCTGAGTGTTGTCAGACTGTGGAGCATTTGCATTTTTCAGCATGCATTTTAAGATACCAACAGCCTAAATTCCAAGAGATTTTGTGTGTATAGTATGGATTTTTGTAGTTGTTGATACTGCTTTGAAAGTGCAAAAACCTGTAGTTTCTAATAGCAGCAACTATTTCTTTTTATAACTGCTACAAGGAAACCAGTTTAACGTGTAAGGACAGAACGAAATTATGGGGGGAGAAGCGTTTATGGTTGGGGTAGTAAGGGAACGACGGGCAGTGGCTGCGCCCGGCGCCAGGTCGGCAGCCGCCTCCTCCACCGAGGCCCTTCGCCTGGGCTTTGGCGGCCGCGGCCCTGCGCCCTGGTGTCCAGCAGGAGCCGAAGCCGGGCCGCACTGTCGCGACTGGCGCTCCATCGCGATAAAGCGGTGCCGAACCCCCCCGCCTCCCCCGTTTCCGGGCGGCGCCCTGTCGCCCGGCAACCGCCTTCCGCAGCTTCCGCTTCCGCCGCCCCGCGCATCCCCCTCGGCCGCCGTCCGCCGCCTCCCGCGCTGCGGCCGCCCCTGGGCTCCGCGCAGGCGGCCGCGGGGAGCCCCCGCCGCGCTGCGGGGGGGGAGAAGCGGGCGCGGGGCGAGAGCGGCCGGCGGCAGCTCCAGCGCGGGGCGGCGGTGGTCTGAGGGGCCTCGGCGCGGTGCCCGTGTCCCCCCGCCCCACCGAGGGCCCTAAGGGGCAGCGGGGCGGTTTGGGGCGGCCAGGGCGCTGTGGCGGCTGCCTGCGGGCGCCGGGCCGGGAGGAGGCCGGCCCTGCGCTAGGCCCGGGCAGGCAGCGGAGGAGACCCTCCTAGCGATAAGCCGCCTGTTGGGCGGTAGGTCGGATGTGGGGGCGAATAGGTGTTTAGCCCTAATAAGGGATTAAAAGATGCTTCATGAAGCTGCGCGTTGGCTCGTTGAACGAGGGGGCCGCTCCCGGGCTCGCCCTGCTATCTGCCCGGCTGGTGTGAGGGGTTAGGCTGGCGAGGCAGAGAGGCTGAGGAATGGAAGGGACGGGGAGCAGGAGCGACGCTTCCTCCTCCGTCGTCGCAGACTGGAGTTTGGTGTTTTGGACTCTCTGCTCTGTGATCCTGCCGGTGCTGATCACCTTGTGGTGCAACTTCCAGCGGTCCCGGCGGCAGTTGTTGATACGAGAGATCTTTCGCAAGAGCAAGCATGACTGGCACTACACAGACCTCTTTGGCCAGCCCTCCTACTGCTGCGTGTGCGCTCAGCACATCCTTCAGGGTGCCTTCTGCAACTGCTGCGGGCTGCGTGTCAGCGAAGGGTGCCTCAAGAAGGCTGACCAGCTTTTCCTCTGCAAGGAAATTATGAGGAGCGATGGTGGAGCCCACAGGTCTATGCTGCACCACTGGATCAGAGGCAATGTCCCACTTTGCAGCTGCTGTGTGATATGCAAACAACAGTGCGGCACACAGCCCAAGCTCTGCGACTACAGGTACAGCAAAGGGAATTTGAGTTTGTATGAGAAAGTACAATGCTATATCAATACTGTATTTTCTGCAGGGTTGTTGGAACACATTGTCCTGAAGGAGATCCTGCAGTAGTCAAATAGGAAACTGTTAAAAAAACAACTTAAAAGAATCTAAAATTAAAATGGATGCTTTTGGGTAATTTGAGTCATAGATTAGGAATATGGTATTGCATCTCGTGTCTGCTTGTTTTCTTAATTGCATTACTTCAGCATGATGTGTTAGCTACTGTATATTTACATATAAAAGGCTCTCTATGTGTAAGAGAGGTTCTAATGCACTTGTCATTTGTACAGCAGATAGCTTGAATAATTTGAGTGTCACAGCTCACAATTCAGAGCACCAGAATGTGGATGCATCTCTGCAAAATTGGCGTCTGCTCAGTGTAACTAGAGCAACTATCCTGTATTTGTTTAAGTTCATTTTTAAGGATGCTCAAAAAAAAGCTAATGGGAAGCTTTAAAAGTTACTGTAGTGTAATCTGTTGTTAAAGTTTGTGGTAAGTTTCTGTGTGGTACTGTCAAATCGCTTGGTAAGTAAACAGAATTACAGTATAGATGACCATACTATCAGAAACAAAACCTTGGAAGAAAGTGTGCGTAATTGGGGAGGGAAGGAGAGGATTTTGGAGGCAGAAGGGGAAGGAAGGAAGGAAGGAAGGAAGAAGAGGAAAAGAAGTCAGTCACAGTACAGGGCAAGTATCATCGCTTTTCTAGTTATGTGCTGGATTAGTCAGCAGGACTCCAAATATAGCTTTCACAGCTGCTTAAACCAACGCTTTGGATGTAGCAAACAAAGATCAACATTCTGCAGAGGCTGGCCATGGATGTTGCAGGATTTCCTCTTGTTCTAGTCTGTTTTCCAAGACAGCTTTTAGAATAGGTCAAAAAGCTGAGCAGTTTTGCATAACAAAACCCATCAGCCTTGTACAGTACTGTGTAACCTTTTAGGTGTCAGACTTAAAGGGGTATTATTAATCTTAAGAAATTTATTAATTAATGTTACTAGTAACACTTCGTTAAATTGAACTCTAGACTTTTTGTTGTGCTCTAGTTCAGTTTTTTCATACAAGCTTTCAGTGTAACTTAATATTGCAGACAATGCAATAGAATATTTATAGCACCTGGTTTTGGTATTAATTAATTTAAAACTGTTGGATTTTTTTCCGCAGAATTCAGATGCTTTTCTAGACTTCCAAGTACATGAACAAATTATGTAATTCTCTGTAGCAAATATATAGTCGTGTAAACTTCCAAGGAAGGTATAGCTTTCCCTGTAACATGCTTAAAATACTACTTATAATGGTGCATGTAAACAGAAGTACTTTTCAGAAAGCCAGTATATCTAAAATAAATTAGCAAGATCTATGTGCCTGTTGTTTGAGGATTTTTTTCATGGTTTTTGGCCTTTTTTCCAGATGTGTGTGGTGTCAGTACACGGTACATGATGAATGCATGATGGATTGTTTAAAGACTGAGGAGTGTACATTTGGAGAATTCAGAGACTTAATTATTCCACCATATTATTTGTCTACAATCAACGAGATGCGTAAAGACAAAAGAACAAATTATGAAAAGGTAATTGTCTACTGCTTCTTGGTTTTATAATACATTAGGAAAAAAAAAAAAACACCCCACACATGAAAACTTGAACTCAGTACATTATCAGGTTAATAACTGTCAGGTAGATGTTTCAATGTATATGGAGTACTTGCAGCGTTAATTCCGAGGTGCTTTTAATTTTGTCAACATGGTAGTTGAAGCATCAGCAGACATTTGGATTTTGTTATACCAAAACAACACTGAGATTTGGGTACCTTGTGGTTTTGTTTTGTTTTTTTTTTTTTTTTTTATTACTGTGTTCATAGCATTGTCGTGTTTGTTGTCTTAGGTACTGTAGAACAGAAATCTTCAAACTTGGTGTGTCAGAAGTATTTGTTTCTGTTTTGACTACTTCAGACTAATTGGTCACTTCCGTGTTTCAACACTTACAGGGGACAGATTTTGGACCAAGGCTTTAAACATTTTCAAATGTGTAGTAGTTGTGCAACTGACTGACTTTTACCTTTTTGCAGGTAGTACCTTACTGCAGAAAACACTGGATGCCAGTAATCATACTGGCTAATACTCGTAGTGGAAACAACATGGGTGAAACTTTGCTAGGAGAATTTAAAATTCTGCTGAACCCGGTTCAGGTATTTACAGTGAAAAGCCACTATAATAAAATAAAAGTTTAAATTAGAATAAACATCACTTTGCTTACACAATGGCAGTAGGATCTTGTGGAAGATCAGTGAAGGAAACAAATGCATGCAATTTCTTCTTTTAGAAAGAATAGCTTTTATATAGAGAGACCAAAAGGGTAGAGGCTTCACCCACCCCCAAGTTTGTTACAGTTCTAATACTGGTCATTTTTTGTTTATAGTAATACATGCAGTAATTCTGTTAATAAGTATCTGGCTCTTGAAACGGTGTACAGTTTTTAGAAAATTAAATATTTAAATCTTTTTAATTTTAAACCTGTATTTGTTTAAATCCTCATGTTACTTGTGAAAAGGTCAGTGTTTACAGTTGCTGCTTTGTGTTGTTGCTTTCCCTTTAAAATCCACTGGGATGGCACAGGATGTTGATGTAAGGCAGTTAGTCCTTCCTTGGATTTCCTGGCTGCACCTTAATACTCTCTCTGAAAGTTCAAAACCCAGCCTTAGAATAGAGCCTGATAGACATCACTGTGTTTGGTTTAAATGCATCCCAATCAGGCTTTAAAGAATGAATCTCTTAGAATGGTGAGTAATTCAAAATAACTTTTATCTGAAGTCTTTCATCTTTACAGAATTCGTCATAATGACTTTCCTTAGGACTCTGTCAGCTCAGTTTATCAAGGGCATTTATACCTAATGAAGCAGCTGGAGCTCTATTGTGAATTTAGGAAGCCAAATTCTGCTCATAAAAGTCAAGACAGCTGATTTCCTAATGTAACGTTGTAAATGGAGAATCTTTGTTTTGCATTAGAATTAATGTCTTGGCTCAGGATTTGCCACACAGGTAAACAACTTCATGTTCTGTGAACTTACAGAACTCCTTATTTTCCTTTCTTCTAGGTTTTTGATCTAAGCAAAATTGCACCTGCTAAAGCACTCCAACTCTGTACCTTGCTGCCTTGCAATGCTGTCAGGGTTCTTGTCTGTGGTGGGGATGGCACAGTAGGCTGGGTCCTGGATGCAATTGATGAGATGAAGATAAAGGTATTGTGTTTTGTATTAAAAGATGTAGTGAAATGAGTTTTGGAGCTGCTGAAGTGCTATACCTAATCGCTTACCTGCATCTATTATTTTAATCTTCCAAAATAAACCTACAGAGAAATATTTGTGGAATTGCTTATTCATGTTGAGAAGGGGGGGAAATGCATCTTTTTATGAGTCCCTGTAGTTCAGGGAAAATATTAAAGCTTCAGATTTTATTTAAAGGCATTCTTTTCTGTAAAACTAGAAAAGAACAAGCTGCAGAATATTTTATGCATTGTTCTTTCCTTTGTCTAAACAGATTTATTTTGTTGTGAATGGCATAGCTAATAATGGCTAATGTGCTCTGACTGGTTATTTCTCCCAGTGTGCTCAATCTTCTGTAATGACCTCATAATTTTGCTGGCTACACTGGTTATATTGCCAGTGCATGAATGTGTGCAGTAATTTGCTTCTGCTCCTTACCATATATTCTACAGAATCAGTCTGCAGCCTCACCTGTTAACAGCAAGGGGAGAAGGAAAAAATAAGCTGTATGTTTACTGTTGATTTGAAATGGAAGATATTCTTATTTACAGGGTATTATTAAGAACTCCTAAGAAAATTAAGAATGAAGAATAATTACTAGGGCTTTAGTGCTTTACTTAATAAACTTTTTCTCTAGTGATAAAAGGAAGAAAGTTACTCTTCTTATAAATGTCTTTTTTCCTCCAGCTTTCTTGTTAATCCATGAAATGTCGTAGTTGAAGGCCATTATTACAACTTCGTGCATAGTCAAACTGAGCTGCTTTGAGAATTTTTATGTACTGATAAAGTAGAAATGTCCCGGAGTGTAACTATAAAGGTTAATGAATATGAGTATATGGTTACTTGGTCTTGGACACTTGATATATTGTCCCTCAGAGCCCATATAGTTGATGAAATCTGGGTGGTTCTTTGTTTCCAAGTATTCAAATTGAGTCATTGGAGTTACATCAATACTGCTGAGGTTATCAGCAAAATCCTTTTATTATCAGCAGTAGGTTATTTGCTCCCTTCATTTATCTTGACTCTCAAATAAAGCCAGGTAACCTGTCTGATAACTCTTATTGAAATTATAGTAACTGTAATGCCTCTTACTGCAAATACCTTTCACAGCTGAATTTCAAAGGCCATAGTACATCTGAAATAACTGTTCACCCTTCTGTGGTAAAGAGAGCAAAGACCTTTGAGGTGAATATCTGCTTCCGTCATTTCCTCTGTGACCTGCAGAGGTGATTATCATCTGCTCCATCTGTTGATGACAGTTGGATCTGTGTGTATGTGGCATCTCTGAAACTTAGATACTGACTTTCCTTCTTTAAGTATGTGAATTTCTGCCTGTGGTTTAACGTTCTAGTATTATGTGAATCTGTTCTTTTAGAGCTACCCTCACTTCAGTCTTGTAAGAGCATTTTGGTGTCTTATGGTTCACAGCCTTGTGTGTTGTTTCTCTTGGTGTATGTATCACTTCCCAGAGGTATGTGCAGTAACAGTGTTAGTAACATACCATGGCTGCAGTAAGTCAGCAGCATGTAATTGGGAAAACAGATGAGAAGTTCAGGCTTTCACTTCTAGATCCAAACCATCCTTCTTTTGAAGGAATACTTTGTTCAGTATTAATAATGCATTGTTTCCATAATGTGTTTGTATTCTCTTCTCATAATGGTTTAACGTTTTCTTCCTTTGCATTATCCCTATGATAAGTACTTTAGTGTGCCATCTGCTATACTAATGCTGCCAGCTCTATTGCTCTGCACTATGTAACAAACTGTTATGAAGATTAATGATATTTAACATTTGGGGATAAAAGGGAGAAAGTGAGTGCTGAAGAAGGAGCTAATATGCAGTGGTTTTATATCCTAGGGGCAAGAACGTTATATTCCTCAAGTTGCAATTTTACCTCTGGGAACAGGCAATGACTTGTCTAATACACTGGGCTGGGGTGCAGGTTATGCTGGAGAAGTCCCTGTAGAACAAATCTTACGAAATGTCATGGAGGCAGATGGAATCAAACTAGACAGGTGAGTAACAGTGGAAAGATAAACTCTATAGAACCAAATACTACTGTATCTCTACTGATAGCCAGTTGCAGCAGTATATGTAAAGAAGCACAAGTATTGTTGAAGGGAACTGCAAAATAACCGAGGGCCAAAATTAGTCTTTATTTAGTTGTTCTACAAGGCTTAACTCTTTCATAATTTAACTAAATTTGAATCTTTGACTTGATCCCAGGATAGATAGGAGATTCCAAACTACAGTTTTGATAGTGAGAACAATCGGTCATGAGTCTAAGTAACGGCTGTTGTTTTTCAGGTGGAAGGTTCAAGTAACAAACAAAGGATACTATAACTTAAGAAAACCAAAGGTATGGTTTGCAGGTATAATTATGGATTCTGTGGAATACTTGCATGTTTATATTTACTTTTCTGGTTACCTACTTTCCATTAAACATTGTGACTTTTAAATCATAATAGTGATATTTAATAAGACCATAACTAGAAGTTTTGTCTTACAGGTATTCACAATGAACAACTACTTTTCTATAGGACCTGATGCTCTCATGGCTTTAAATTTTCATGCTCATCGTGAGAAGACTCCCTCTCTGTTTTCCAGCAGAATTATTAACAAGGTGTGTTTGGTAAAGTGACGTTTTTCCCTTGTAGTTGTTGACTTAAGTCTATTGCTTTATTCCCCTGCTTCCTTTCCTGCCACTTTAAGATTTTGAACTCCTTTTTCTTGGGGAGAGGATTCCATGGGTAAAATGTGTTTCCAACCCACTCACAAATGTTTTGTCTTGCCTCTGCTTGCTTGCTTACAGAATATGTTGTTTGTTCAATTTTTGTTTAGAATGTCTCATTTGCTTTGAAACTTAATGGGCTAAGGACATTGCCTATTTCCTTTTAAAGTGGAAAGCAAGTTTCTTACGCAAGTTGTAGCCTATCTCACAAGAAAGCTTAGTTGAAGGATGTGCAAATATGTATGAATTTTAGATAAGGATTGCAGAGCAATAACTGTAAATGAATATTTAAAATAGTCTTCATATGTACTGTCTTTCTAACAGTGTTTTCTCTGTTTTGTTTTTTTTTATAGGCTGTTTATTTTTTTTATGGAACCAAAGACTGCTTAGTACAAGAATGTAAAGATCTTAACAAAAAGGTTGAGGTAAGTCTTTTAACTTGCTTACTCTTTGGGCAATCAGAGGAGTGTAAAAGCTTACATTGTGAAAGGAAAGGGGAAAAGCTTTGCAGTTTGTGATATTTGTATAAGGGTGGCTCTGGACTTCAAGTAGTTTTGATGTTCCTTTTGCTATCTGCAGCTTACTTCCTGGAATTTTTGTCTGAGCTTGCTGAAAATTCCTAAATTTTTTTCTGCTCTTGACTTTGTTCTATGAGTTCAAGTACTGATAATCAGATAAAATTTGCCCTAGCACCAGAGATTTATGTGAGAGATCCTTTTTCTTTTCTCTAGTAACATCTGTTCTGGCTTAAGATATCTTGTGAAATCAGAAGTAATTTTTTTTAAGTATGAAAAGAAAACAGGTTCTATTTGTACAGGGCCAGTTTTTCTTCAAGTGGAAGCCTATTAAATGCATAAAGAGAGTATCTTATATTAAAGTACCAAATTTTGTCCACGGTAATTAACTTCTGTTTGTCTTTTAAAGCTAGAGTTGGATGGTGAGAGAATTGAGTTACCCAATTTGGAAGGCATCATTGTCCTGAATATTGGATATTGGGGAGGTGGCTGTAGACTCTGGGAAGGAATGGGTGATGAACCTTACCCCTTGGCCAGGTACACAGTGCACCTTTTTTCTTTTGTTTCCTGTAACAGCTTTTGTAGTTTAAGCAATTCCCTTCAGCAAGCTGTGCTTATGTAGCCAGACTTGTCTGAAAGTCGGAAGAATTCCTTGTAACAGTAGGCTATCTCAGATTTTTTTATTTTCCTGATGTTGGAGACTTAAAGTGAGTTCATCCACACATCAAGTTTGTTTTAAGACCTTCTCAAAATGTCTGGCATGATTAAGCAATAGTGTTGCAAAGGCTATTAAAAATAAAGGTAGCCTTGGAAAGTAGAAGATATATCTATTTCAGAATATAAAAGAGCACATCTTAATAGAGGTTAAAATATGAAGTAAAAACCAAGCTAAAAATTTTATTCCCGTGCTTGAGTAAGTTGTCTGGAGCAATACGAAAGAGGGGAATAGCTGGGTACGTTAGTTAGTCCCACTTGTGACTTTCTTCTTCAGAAGCCATATACTTCATAGTTCTGTTACAAGGCTTCTGGTCCTGGATTTCTAAAAAATACTTGTTCTTTTACCAAAATCTAAAAAATTAAGCCATTAAAAGATTTTATTGTAGATTAACTGAGTGAAAAGAGAAAATTTTACAAATTTATTTAAGGCCCACAGTGGATTTATCTTACATATGCATGATGAGCCTTGGAAAGTCATATAATCGTAGTTTCTAGAAGCTGGCTAGGGTGTACCAGCTGGTGTATTGTTTTTGTATGGCTTCCTTTGCCATTCTGTGTGGTTTGTTGTCCAGCACAAATAGATACTTTAAACGTATTTGTAGAGTAGCATTTGTCTCCTCTATAGAGATAGAAGGACTGTGTGTTATTTGGACAGGTATTCTAGAGCTTATGAGCATCCCTAAAAAGAGTCTCTTAATTCATAGACATGATGATGGACTTCTGGAAGTTGTTGGCGTTCATGGTTCCTTCCACTGTGCCCAGATTCAGGTGAAACTAGCAAATCCTGTTCGCCTAGGGCAGGCACATACAGTGAGGGTAAGTGGTGTTTATGAACCTGTTCCCTAAATTTTTTTTAATACACAGTATAGCATCACAGGCACCCAACTGTCTGATCTGAAGTTGCAGTTTGCAGTTGAGCTAGATGGTTCTCTTGCTTAGTGAAAATTAATTGTCATAATTCAGTGTTTGATTTTTGTCCTCCAGTGCTTTGGTTGGTGGCCTATGAGTGCAACTAAACACGAAATTTCTCCCTGGCCAGGCTGAAATTGTGCAGCATCAGTATACTGTAGTTGTAAAAGGTATCTTCAGAGCTACTTTGAACTGCTATGATTGTGTGTTCTTCTATTTAATACTAGCTGATCTTGAAGAGTTCAAAGATGCCAATGCAAGTGGATGGAGAGCCGTGGGCTCAGGGGCCCTGCACTGTTACCATAACTCATAAGACACATGCGCTGATGTTGTATCACTCGGGTGAACAAACAGATGATGACGCTTCCAGCGTGTCCGAGCAAGACCACCTGAGAGAGCAGACGGATGAAGATGTATAGATTTTGTGGAATTTAACATAATATAGTGATGAACTTCAACTCATTAAAACCACTGAGAATGCCTAATCTAGATTAAGGTTTATGCCGAAAGGTTCATACTTGTGAATGAACTAGAGCAGAGGAAAAAGCCATGCTTTTACATTCATGAAAACTTTCACAGCTGAATTACCACAACTGTTTTGCCTTTTAGATTAGTGGTGATGCCCAGCCATTCTAGCTGGACTCAGTTAATGTTAGGAAAGAGAGATACTGCAACCCTTCCTTGCTGTGGAATCACATACTCTGCACACACATAGTATAGTATGCAAAATGTCTGATACCCTTGGAAGGGGGAACAGCTGGGAGTTTGGCCTGCTTCTGCCTGCCCTCTTCCCTAGAACAGCTCCAGCACAGAAAACCAGACCAAGTAGAATGTGGGCTGATTTTCTGACAACAGCCTGCTCCTGGCTTCCATCTCGAGAGCAAGACAAATACTTTACTGTGCACTTGCTTGTGCAGTGTATATCTAACGGACTTGACTGGGAGAGCATAGGATCTGGGAGCTCTTGGGAAGGTGGTTAGCAAGCAAGATGCTTTTGGACCAAAGGTTTCTGGAAATGTTCTGTTAGCGAATGACCTTTTTCAGTGGCTTTGTAAGCCATAGACAGAGTACTCCTGAGGTCCCGAGTACCCAAGATACAACGTCAAAGTAATTGTACCATGACTTGCACTGAGTGATCCTGTGACTGACTCTGCTTCAGTTCAGTGAGAGACTAATGTTAATTTTTGTAAATAGCAACATCATAGTTCTTGAGGAGGCTTTTTGGAGGAAACCTTGGTCGAAGGAGCTGTCTTTTTTAGCTGTTTGGAGGATGGTTTTAAAGAAAAAATGGTAATTGGTAAATGTGGGGTTTTTTAAAGGCTTGTTAAAGATCTTGCTTCGTAATTGCCTGAAAATGATCAATAGTAGGCCAGTCTGTTCACTGTTTCAGTTTTAAGTGTGGATGTTAAGTTTGCAGAGGTTAGCAAGTTCTGGCATTCATGTGTATAATTTGATTGTGAAAAAAAAGCATGGAAGCATTTGTTTTCTGACTGGCCCTTGGGGGGGTCAAAGATACCTTGTTGGGCCTGAAACTTAATTTCCTGTATGAATATAAGGCAAGAAAAATATTGGTGGTCTACACTGATAGTAAAAGTTAAGAACACATACAACAGTACGTGGAAACTGTCAGTTTGGCTTATCTGAAGCTTCTCAGGTTAAAAGCTTCTCAGGTAAAAACATCTTAATTGTAAACAGAAGTAAAAATTTGCTTCCTTTGTTTTTTTCTGTTGGTATTTTAAGCCTGCAGCAGGTGAGAGCTATGAATTTGTCACCAAGTAATTCCGTTAAATCCAGTTGTGAAGATTATCTTCCAAGTAGGAAGAGAATTTATGCTGAATGTATACTGCATAAGACAAGATCATAAGAGAAGTTGAGAGTTTTGGTCAAAGCTTTGAATGTTGCTGCTTTTGTCAGAACTCCCTGATCTTTTTTTTTTTTTATTTATACTAACTGAAAGTGATACCATTGGGTAAAGTAGGCTATGTTTCTAGGTTTTGTAAAATCAAACTGTTTTTCAACAATCTATAAAATGATGTTTGCATTAATGGTGAATGAACTATTTATATTTTAAAATAATTTATTGAAACCTTGGCAAAGTCAGTATTTTTAAAACCTTCAATTGTAATCCTCTTTGGAGAGCATTTTTAACTTGATGGTATTCATTGTAGAAAGTGTATGTACTAGATCTTAAATACTGCTGATTATCAGTGAATTTATAGCTGTCTGAAAATGTGATTAGAATGTAATGAACTGTAAAGCAGAAGCAATTTGTAAATTCCGTATTCCTTAGCCTTATACACCTCATCTTAATTATTTTATTGTATGTAAATATAGAGAACATATTAATAGTAAAATCTATGTAAAGTGCTTAAAATACCCAAAAGTATACTATGTTAGATGAATCTACTACCCTTTTTTTTTTTTAGTTATGAGGTTCAATTTGTATTAGCTTCAAAACTCTTACTAGTTAAATTATTATTTTTTTTAATAACTTGGAACCACTAGCATCCTAAAAATAACTGAGTTCTATGCTATGGTTCTTACGTAACTATTGTTTACAAACAAATGTCATGTCTCTGGAAAAACAGGGTATGTGCTATGAAAGGCAGTATTTTCTTAAGAGAAATCACACCACTGGCTATTTAATCTAAACTATTCATAATACAGTTTAAAGAGTTACTTCTTGATCAGATGATTATTCAAAATGTGTTATAGCCTAAGGACTGGTAACTGTTCAGAAAATTTGCTCTTTGAACTCCTGACATCTAGAAAAAAAATATTCGATGCCAGAAGTCTCCCTTTTGTACAGTAGGTGAGCTGGCTTCTCCACTTGTGCTTTGCCTGAGTGGGTACCAGTGATGTTGTACTATGTTTGTGCAGGCAAGATCCTCCTGCTTACTATGGCTTGCTAGGAGTCCAGCCCTAAATGTGTGAAATTGTCTTTTGGGAAATGTAAGTCCATCATTCCTTTTGGAGAAACAAAGAATTAGAATTGCAAGTAGCATCTAATTGGGTGCTTGTTTGAGAAAACCCCTGGTAAACAGTCCTGTTTGTATTGGACAGATCATCCCCTTCTTGCATGTGGAAGTGAAGAAGTTTTGTATTTCATAAACTGTTAGTGATTGCAGCAAATTGTAGATAGCAAACGTAGCCATTGTAAGCATGGGGAAACGTCTTGTAAAATTGTGTTTATGGCATGGAGAATATTCTGTAAGGTTGAAGTGTCCAATTCCCTATAGGGCATGGGGTCATCCTTCTATTGTAACTATAGCTGTTATGTGCTTGACAAAAAAAAAGTTCTTTTTAAACTTACAGTGTTACCACTGGAATCTGTTGGGAAGTCATGCTGTTGCCCACATGCTGTCTTTTGATTTCAATGTATCCTCCTTTTCAAATTGGGTTAAAGCCTATTTTGAGTTACTTTTATGGAACTCTTTTTAGTCCAACAGTAAATGTCAGCAATGGGCTCCCAGGTTCTAATGCTAGCTGTAGCTGCTTAATGTTGTCCCCTGTGTATTGTGACTACAGAACTGTTACATGCCTTTTTAATGTTGTAGGTGCATAAAGCACTGGTACAGAAGCTATTTTGTAGCTCTGCGAAAACAGGTTGGAAACCTGAAAATACTGCAGTATGCTCTCTATCCAGAAGAGGGTACACTGCAGCTGCATCTCATGTCCTGCACTGAAGAATTTTCCCCTATCCTGTTAATGATTAACATTGGAAAAATAGTGAAAGTGATGTTTCAAATATACAAATAATGAATAGTTTATTCTGGCAGTCTTCATACAGTATACCTTTGTGTAACATGTACAGGTTGAATAATAACATAAATTGTCAAGCACTCAAAAGTGAATTCACAAAATTTATTTTTAAGTTTTATTGCTGCATACACTAGCTTAACTCAAGTTTGGTCAGATTCCAGTAACCATCTTTACTGTAGGTTCTCAGTCCTTTGATGTGCAATACAAAAAACTTAAACTTGTATGGAGAGCCTTTCAGTGACCTTCCTGCCTTGCTCAAACCTCGCTTGTTTACACACACGTTGAGAGGAGCTGTGTGCATGTTTTCATGTGCATAGAACTTCTTATCATAGGCTTTGCTTTACTTTGCGTTTTCACTTCATCAATTCATAGCAGAGTTAAACTGTTTCAAATGCCACCTGCATTTTGGCTCTTTCTCTGTCTGGACTTTTGAAAAAGGTGTCTGAAGTACAAACTTGGATTCTTCATCCTCAGACACAGCTGAGGTGAATGGCATTTACTTATGTATTTTTTTTCTAAGTATGTCTGTTGTTCCTGGTGTTTAAAGCAGGTTAGGATAGTATTTAGAGCATACTTTTAACAGCACTTTGGAATTAATTGCAGTTATTAAAGAAGATAGTCTTGTGTTTTCTTTCTACTGCAATGGTGACACTCCTTTTTCAAATTATTTTGGAATTATGTTCAAATTTGAACACTTTTCTCAACTAGCACTGTTATGAATTGCGTTTCATCTTCATAATGTAAAGACTATAGCATAATTTATGCATTTGATACTCATTTTTACATGTTCACTTTCAATGTTGCCCCTTCATAGGGGTTGTTCTTTTCCAGGTCTTGCTTTTCTTAGGCACTAAGTAACTTGAAACACCATCTACTTTAGTTAGAAGCTTTAAATATTTGCTCTTGAAAAACAGATTTGAGTTCCTCATGGTTGCAAGAGAAAATGCTACCCTGTTTGAACACACTGGGAGAAAATCATCTTGTTGAGGCAATCCTTATAGCAAGAGTAAGTTTCTTCTGTATAACTTCAGCTGATTCGGATTGATAATCTGTTCCCCTGTCTGTTCTGTCTTGCTAGTATTTACAACTACTCAGTAAGTACTTCTTTCCCCTAGTCATTTAATTATTCATTTTATTGTGGCTCACTTTCAGCAAAAGATGTCATTTGGGACAGTATCAACAGCTCTGCTGAAATCAGGATAGTGAGCTTCTCTTCTATCCACTTTGTCCTTCATGCATGCTACCTTGTCAGAAAAAGAAAATTGAAATGGCTTCCCACAGCTTATTCTTAGCCCACTAACCCACCTGTTTGGCTTTTTCAGTCACCACCACCACACCTGGAAGATATTAGAAAGCACTCTAAAGGTTCCTGGTCCCTCTGACCTATTTTGAAAGTACAACTTTTGCTTTTTGCTGCTTGGGAAGAAAGCCCCCATTCTCCCCAGGTTCTGAGAACTGATAGTTATAGGCTCTGGTTTCAGTTATGCCAATTCCTTCTGATTCTGCATTATGTTGCACTGAAGCTCACAGCTTTTAAGGTTATGTTACTGTATCTCACTGCTTTTAAAAACAACCAACCAAACAAAAGACCAACCCAGCTTAAAGCCTGTAGCTGTGAACAGCATAATGATGTCAATGTTATAATAGTTACTCTTTTTTTACTTGGCAACAAATGCTTTTTGGTAGAGCACCACTGTAACCTAGTTAGTTAATCTGTGGGTAAGAGCAGGATACTTACAAATCTTTGCATGTGTTCTAAATTAAAATCCTTTTTGTTCTGTATTTCATACCAACTACTAGCAGTTTTCTTCCTTTTGGAAAAGAAAAAAAAATTTTACCCTTCAGTTAAGAGTGAACTAGGATACATACTAGGAGTATACTAGTACGTAACTGATCCTGTTGAATGTGAACCACTTATTTTAAAATGCTCTGACTTTTTTTTCTGAGGAATGATAGGTGCTTTTTGAACACGGGAATGAGAAAACAGAGACCACTTGTTCATTTAGCAGTTAAGTATATTGAGAGAATTTACACATTCTTTGTTTCAACTTCATTTAGGGCACAGTTCTAAAAGCATGGCATGATCAAAATTTCTTTCTCTCACTAAGGGTGCTGAATTCCCAGTTCAGGGTTTGGGCATCTCAGGGAGAGACTTCTATCTGGAGTAAAGCCACATGCTTTGACTAAACCTAGTGATGTTATATGGACTCACATTAGCTGAGGATCTCGCCCTCAACTGTTGAAAAGTATGAATGTATTCAAAATTTTACTTTGTGTCTTGTTAATGCTGCCCTGTTTACTGTGCTGTATGCCCTTATTGCTGTATGTAATTCATCTTTTGCATTGTTTCATTTGCAAGTTGTTGATTTCAGCATAAAAAATAATTTTAAGTGTAAGTGGGAACTTACATTGTGAGTGTATTGCATTCTGTATCTTCAAAGTTTACATCCCTCAAGCTACTTTGTCTGCTACCAACTGCTGTAATCCTTAAAGTACCTCCAGCCATCTTTTCTTTCTAGGATTTTTATAGTTAAACAGAATGGATTTTTATTTTTGTAGCATGTAACTTCAATATGTATAGTAGTTATTTCTATTTAATAATTAGTGATCAGAATACTGTAAAAATGTTACTTTTAAGAGCTGTAACATTAAATTAGTAATAACTACTTATAAGAAAATACCGGTATGTTAACAGTTTAAAAAAAAAAAAAAAAAGTTATTCTTTAGCTTGGAAATACTGTGATGCTGTGACTTGGGATTTGTATTGAATGTGTTTGCATATGTTCTGAAATTGCACTAAATAGGGAAAAAATGAGTTTAAAATGCAATAGATCAAAAAGTAGAATTTATAACATCTTAGGTTTTATGTCAACCAAGAAAGGTGACATTTGGGATTCAGTGTTTTTCTGGTTACCCACAGAACAGTAAGGAAGGGAGTGATCTTTGTATTCTTGACAGAACAGTTACTCCTTATGATACAGTTTGATATGTATTATTTAGTGCCCAAACATAAGCAAAAGCCATCTACACCATTCCTTACCATTCCTGTCTCTCTTCTCAGAAAACAAAAACTCAGAGCAAACCTGACTGCTCACAGCTGTAAAGTCTACAAGATCTTCCTTGCAAAGAAATAACCAACCAACATAATATTGAACCTCTATAAAAATTTGAAGTCAAAATTTGCCAGTTTTTTTCTTGACATCAAGTGATGCTTTCAAATCCCAAATTGTTTTTCCTTTGTTTTCTAAAAGAAGGCAGCCTGCAAGGAGTGGCTAAGGAGGTATTACTGTAAGACTCTTAGTCATAAAAGCAGGAAAGTGGGGTCTTTATTTGCTGCAGAGGCACAGGAAATGTGATTGTGGAATGTCTCATAAAAGTATCTGCTTGAACCCATATTGACTTCATCCAGTATTTCTGAAGCAGGTGATAATGCCCTTCACCCCTGTAATGGTGACATTTGTTCAAATCATTACATGGGGGTGATGTGTATTATTTGAGTACTTGGGCCAGGTTCTGTCTGTCAGAAGCTGCAGCTTCAGTGAAGTCCCAGACCTCCACCCGGTTCTGTGGTGGTACTCCACATTAACACAAGTGAAACTGAAGAACTTTTGTCTTCAGTCAGTTGTGTCATGGCCTATCTCGTGTGACTTAAGCTCACAGAAGGCTCTTTTGAGAAACATCTGCTCCATATTCTTCATAGAAGTTTGTAAATACAGATTTTTCACAGCACTGACTCTGTTACTGAATTTCCTAATGCATCTTTTTGTTGTCTTGTTATTTGTACTGTATTTCTCTGTAGATTTAAGTGTGTGGATTAAAGTATTTAAGCTCAGTTTTTCCTTTTCCTAGCTATGCATAAAAGCAACTGTGAGTTTTCAATTCTGTAACAATCTAGTCATGATGACAATAACTGCCTGATAAGTTTGTTCATTTTGAGAACAGAGTTGTATGTTGTTGAACACTGCAGTCATGCTTCTGCCTGAGGTCCCTGCTGCAAATTCCAAGTGTTTCAAGCGTCAGATACATGGAAAAATTTCTAGACAACATGGTAATGTCATTCAGAGCTAAAACTGTTTGGTAACCTACAATGGTGTTTCAGCAGCTGCTTGCCTGCTTCTGGTTCATCCTTCTCCTGGAGGAATTCACCCCTGGGGAAAAGCTGAGTTTGTGTGGCTTTATAATAGATGTGTTTAAAAGAGTTTAAAAACCCCAGGCTTCAATAGTAAGATTAAATGTCCAGATTGCTCCTTCTGACCAATGTCAGTGATTTGGAATCCTAAAACAGTTTGTGATGCACACTATTTAGTCTAAGGGAGAAATAGGCCTACAAATTTCTGATCTCTAAAAAGCAATTTCCAAATAAGAGTTTGACTGGGAGATGTTTTGGTGGTACATGGTGTTGATATAAACTGGAGGTGGGAGGGCTGCTGAGCACAAGTCCTCAAAATACACACAGGGGTTTTTACAGAAAGGGAACATGCTGCTGCTGGAAGATGTTCAGAGATCAAGTGGCTCAATGCTTTCTCCTGATGGCAGCAGATGGGGGTTAGTTTGGGTTTCTGGACGTGAATAAATCCTCCTCTGGCCACTTTATCATAGTGTCAGTGGCCTCCGCAAGTCTTCTCCTCTGTTCCCCAATCTCATTTGCACAAAAGAGAGAACAGGCTCTGGCCTCTTAGCTCCTATATTATGCCACAATCAAACCTTTTAAAGACTATTCCTGTACTGTTTTCTATTCAAGATGGGGTCAAAGCATAGATATTCAGCTGGTTTTTTTCTTAAATGAGTAAGACAATAGTTTTACAGAGCTTTGAGGATCACTGGCACTAATGTTAATGCAAGATCTAGGTTTAATGCATTTTTAAATGTTTTTATAACTGTTGGACTGAACTGTGCACCGCGCCAATTTGAGCCAGATTTTAGCCTAAAAGTTATGTAAGAACTCAGACCGCGGGTGCGTGTGGGAAAGAACATGGGATCTTAGAAAAGTGCAAGTCAAGACTGAAATTCTATTTCTGTCTTTTGATAACGGAAGTAAAAATATTTGGTGAATGAGAAGGTGGTTGTGTGGGGGTCCAAATAAGGTTCCAGGAGTACAGTGTTAGACACTTGAGGGCTAAAACTTAGAATTTAGGATACCTACTCTAGCAAATATTTTTTTTCCTCTTAAGAAAAAGCCCTAATTGCAGAAACTCAGCAGCCAAACTGCTGCTCTTTCCTTGTGCATCTGTAGGCAATGTGAGAACACGCTGCGAACCGCAAGGTAACAGATGGCCGGAGAGTCCTGGTGACCGTGGGCGCTGTCGCGCTGAGCGCGGAACAATGCCGGGGAGATCGCAGCCTGTGCCACCCAGCAGCGCCGAGGGTCATTGTCCCGGCCCCGCTGCAAAATCCTGATTCCACGCTTAAGAGTTGCAGAAAAGAGCTTCGCTCTCTCAGACCTGCAAAAGAGCAGCTCCCCATGTCGTTCATTGAAAATACGGGAAGGGCAATGCATATAGAAATCTAATTATTGGCAAGCACAGCCTGGCTTTTAGCATGATAATTGTGCTTTCTTGTGCATGGACCCCTGAAAGGTACTCATGAAAGCAGAAGTTAAAACTATTGAATTTCCATCAATCATTCAATGTTTGCTTTGATTATGCTGACACGATTTTTGTTTGTTCCTAAACCGCCCCGAGAAACTGATATTAATCACTTTTAAATATTTTTAAAGACAGAGGAGGGCTGATGTCGAAAAGGGGTAAGAAAACAGAAACGCAGAGATCGTGATGGCAAAGCATCACTATTGTACTACACGGCCCCCCCCCCCCCCCCCCCCCCCCCCCCCCCGCCTAGTTTGGGGGTTTTGTCTCTCTGTGGCGCTGCCGAGCCCGCGCCCCGGCGGGGACCCGCGGCCGCGGTGCCGCGGCACCCCCCTCCCTCCTCCCCTCCCCCCTCCTCCCCCCAGCGCCCCCCGGGCCCCGGCACCCCCCTCCCTCCTCCCGCCCTCGCTTATAGCCCGGCCCGCGCCCGGCCGCGGCCTCTCTGGGCCGGGGGTGCCGGCCGGGCCCGGCATGGCCGCGGAGCGGGGCCCGCCCTGCCTCCTGGCCGTGCTGCGGCTGCTGCTGCTGGCGGGCGGCGGGCAGCGGCCGGGCGCCGCCGATCGCTGCAGCTGGAGGGGCAGGTAGGCGGGGGGGGGGCGGCGGCCGGCGGGCACCGGGCCGAGGCCGAGGCCGTCCCGTTCACCGGGCCCCACGGCCCCGCCTCGGCGCTCCGGGGCCGGCGGCTCCTTCGGGGCTCCCCCGTTGCCGGTTCCAGCTAACGGGGCTGGCGGGTCTGCCGCGTTGGTGGTTTTTCTTTTGCGACTTGACAGAAAAATAGGCAGCAAAACTTTCTCAAATATTGTATCCCTTTCCTTTGCATTTTGTTGTCTTTTAACTAATTCTGCTACTATGGATTCGATTTTCTGAAGTGGCATAAGCAAAAGTAACTTCTGAAAGAAATTAAATTGCACAAGCTTGACTAAGAGCTCGGGAGCAGGTCCAGCACAGCCTGCTTTGGTTAGAAACATTTTCTTGATGAATTCTTAATGGAAACATTAAAAATAATTTTAGAAATTTATTTTTTAAACCACATTTTTCAGACATAACATCACTAGTCATTGGGCAGCTCCTACTACAAAGCAGTAGCTCTCACCCCTACCCACCTACAGGTGGGATTTTCTGGAGAGCTGAGCATTGCCCAGTCCTATCGCACAGAAAGTTTTTGCTGCTATTTAATGGAGAAGTTTCCCTCTCTCATTTTGCTGGATGCTGCCAAGCATGGATTTGCAGGTGGGCAAAAGGGGCCGAGGCTCCTTTCCATGCACCCTGGTACAGCACCAGGTGTGGGAACAATCCCCTTCCCTCCCCCGTGGCACTGCAGCGGTGGTGGGAGGGGAGGGAGGGAAGTTGACTTGAGTCATTAGGCTAGAGCCAGAGTTGGCTGTGTATCTCCGGGCAGGCAGCGTGGCAGTGGCTGCTGGGCTGCCTGTGCCGTGGCTATAGTTGCTGACAGACTGATGGTATTGTCTTGGCAGCGGTTTGAGCTGGGAGCCCCGTTCCCGTGCGGTGGAGCAGGTCCATCTGCGCTGCACCGAGGGCTCCCTGGAATGGATGTACCCAGCACGAGCCCTGCGTGTCGTTCTGGAGCCCAACCTCTCCAGTGCCAGACACACCACTGTCTGCATCAAGCCTGCCAGTGACTTCCAAGGTGCCAGCATCTACGTGGAACGTGCTGGGCAGCTGCATCTGGTGGTAAGCGAGGCAGAAGGGGCTCGACCCCACCACGTGTCTTGCTTCAGTGCCCACACACCGCAACGAGTGGCCCTCTTCCTGCAGGCCAGTCCGCAGAGGGACATCAGCCGCCGGACAGCCAGCTTCCAGTATGAGCTGCTGAGCAACCAGAGCCCTGCTGGCCCTGACTTCAAAAAGATGGCACTGGTCGAAGGTAAGAGCAGGGCAACCCTCAGGGCTCTGCTACTGGGGCAGGTCCAAGGATGGCATCCGATATCCATTGCCCTTGCATCCCTAGTGACAGGAGCTGTTTTGGGGTGGGGGGTTTGCCATTTCAAGGGCGGTCCTTCTGCCGCTGGCTGACTGTTCAGTGAGTGCAGCCTGTTTTCAGATTCCCACCGTGAGGGGCATCCTGTAGGCACGGGAGGGAGTACTGCAACATAAAGAGAAACTATCTCTCCATCAGCAGCCAGCTTGGTGCTGGACGTGGCCATGAGTGTGTCCCCAGTGCCAGGCAGTACCATCGCTGAGACAACCTGAGTGGGTTTTAGAAGCCTAAATTCCCCTGTTCAGAAGGGATTTAATTTCATCAGGAATCCAAGGCCTCAAGATAGTCACTGGAAATTAGAAAGATCTTTTGAAAATAGGATTAGCCATCTAAATTGCTGGAAACTTCATTTACCTTTCTTTCATATTCTTACACCAACATGATCCTGCACCTAATAACATTTATCCCTACACACACACATTTATGTATCCAAGGAGCACTGGGGTTGAAGAAGGCTCTTTTCCAACCCAGTTCTGAAAAATTGGGACCACCTACTGCTGCCATTGTAACCCTGCTGCCCCAATAAAGAATACCCTGGGCAAACGTCCTGTTGAAAAGGGAAGTATTCAAGCCATGTTGTAATGGCAAGAAGATGCCCTTAAAACAGAGAGGATAAATAAAAAGAGCAACTGTAGTAGTTTTGGGTTGTCCTCTCCTCTTTGTTAACCTGTCCAAGGTGCAACTTTGCATGGCTTTACTGTTTGCTGGTGCTTATTTTAGGGCATGCTTAACAGGATCACTGGCCTGATTGTCCAGTATGCAAGACAGGAGCTTTTGGTAACAAACAGGGTATATACCAAGTGTGTGGATAACAAATTACGTTTATGGGGGAACAGAGCCTGATTGATTCAATGAACCCTGGTGTTAGACCTGGTGTTAGACTCATGAAGGCTTCAGATGTGGCGCAGGGTGTTTTCTTATCACTAATATATCGAATGACTTACGCTGCTATACCACGCTTGGAATAAAATTGAACCCCATCCACGCTGGATTACTAACGTTTCAGTCAGAAGTACTGGAGTGCTCCCTGGCTGTGGAGCTGCACATTGTCTGAAGTAGTCATAGCTCCCAGCACACTCATAGATGTTTGTCTTTATTCTGGTCTTTGTAATCCAGAAGTAGTATAGGAGGATCTTCCACTCCTGTCAGAACAGAACCAAATTTAAAAAGGTTGAGAAATGATGGAGGGTAGGTATGTGCCAGGTGCTGTGTTTTCTGCTATATTTTTTGCATGCTTCATCAGTTGTTAAAGGGATTATATGCTGTCGGGCCCTGTTGTTGCTCAATGACTCTTACAAATCCTCTGTGTTTATTTCTTTGCTTCAGTTGTATTTGCATAACAAGAATTTTGGTTTGCATCTGATCATAATGCTCTTTTATCTAGTAGTTCTGCCCCATTTCCTCTAATAATTCACCAGTCCTTTAGCAATGAGACATAGTATAGTATTGTAAGTAACTAACTGTTCTTTTTTTCTAGCTATGTGCCGTCCTTGTGACAATGTGGAACTTCTTATGGCCATTTGCAGCAGTGATTTTGGTAAGCAGACTAAAGGGAAGTCATTCTGCCTTTAATTATGCATTGATTATTTGGATTTATTTGCTGCTTTTCTTAAAATAACAGCATGACTGTGCTCTCTGATCCGAGAAGGAAACTAGCTGTGTGAAAAGGAATTTGAATGGGGGGAAATAATGAGACCTAGAAGGGAGAAGCTTTCTTTCAAAGTCCTCATTTCCTGCAGAAAGGTTATGATCTAAAACTGAACTGAATTCTCACAAGTGTGCTTCTGGCTCTCACATGTAAGTCGCATGTGTGTAGGTGCACATACACACAGATTGTACATGCTTGGTGTGTTCCTTTTTATTCCCGCCCCCTCTCCCCTCACAATCTGCACATTTCCAAGTTGTTCTTCTACAGAAGTAGTGAGTTGTTTGTAACTTAGCTAAGGAATTCAGGTGACTTAAATTTCCTTTAGTGATGCACTGGTTAGGTTTCAAGCCTTATGAGAGATCATAGCATTTAGTACTCCATAAGATAAGAAATAATAAACACTGATTTGATGGTGGATCAAAAGCTTTTCATATTTTCTCTACATAATAATGCAACAATTTTTTTTTCTTTTTCTCTCAACCTTGATTCATTCATTTTATTCCCATAGTTTTGCACATGAAAATTTGTACCTCTGATTATGTTCAATAGCTAAAGCAGTAGAGCTGCCTCTCCATGTGGCTGCAGTTATATTGCTGTAAACATACCTATGTAAAGAAATAAAACTATGAACTGTATTTACCCCTATGCAGTGTTTAAAAAACCCTACGAAATTGCTGCTTTCCTACTAGGGGTTGCCATTCTTCGAATCTACTGATAAAATCAAATGCCAACATCATTGTGCTAATATAAAAACAGTGTAGAGCATGCTTCCCTTAGAGTGCTCTTTATCTGGTAATTTTTCTTCCTCTTCTAAATTAATTGCTGCAATCCAGCCCATTGTTTCTACTTGATGAAGTTATCAGTTCCCATGCGAGGCACTCTCCTTCCTCACTGCCTGAAACACCAGAGACTGACAGATGTGGAGGCCCAGGCACACAATGGGGGGCACTTACACTTACAGCACCAACAGACCAGAAGAAATAGCCCTTTGAACTGACTCTATTTATGGCCTGACTTCCTTGCCCTAAGCTCACAAATCGCTATCATCAACTTTTTTGATTAGAGAAAATAGCTGCTAATGAAAGTGTAAATGACACTGGGAGTGAATAGGGGCTTTATAGTTACTCTTAAGATGGAGGTCTTCAGTCACTAGGCCCCGAGCAGCGCAGGAGCAACTTGGAGCACCACGAACAAGTGCATTATAGCTTGTCAATAGACTTGGCTGCATCTGATTAAAAATGATCACACAAGGAGGGAGATGGAGAGCAGAGACATCTGTTACACAACATGCTGGATTCCCTTGGAAATTGAATTAGATGAGGAAGTTCTCAGAAACTTCAGAAATAAGCTTTTTCTGCCTCTTGAATCTTTGAATTCTCCATACCTGAATGAAAGAGCTTTGTGGCAGAAGCGGGTTATGTTCCTGTTGTGTTGGTAACCTCTCATTTGCTTAAGAGCTCTTGGCTCAAATGGTGGCATGTTTCTTTCTGAACCTTCTCTGGGATTGAAATTCATTTAGTTAACAGAATGATGTGAAAAATGGGGTCAGTGAGAATGAGAAGGATGGCTTCAGGATAGCAAACAGTCGGATGGGATGTTTCATTCTCTTACAGTTGATGCAAAGGATGCTTTCAGTCAGAAAGACTATGGCTTATTATGCTTTTGTTCCTAGAAAACAGCTAGGATCTTTTTGGGAAAAAGGAGGTACATGTATGCTATGTGATTTTAAATAAGGCTTCAGATAAAACATCTTCAGAAGTTCTGTACGTTGTTCATCAACTCCCTAAGTGTTTTTTGGTGGATGGATGAATGGCATTTTCTTTTGAGGGAGAAAATCCCAAACCTTTAAGTGAAAAATATTGAAGAAGCTCTTATTTTTTCCAATTAAATCATATTCTAATTCTTCTTGGATCAACCTCTCTTACTGCTGTCAAAGGAAAAACCTCAGGGTACCCTGGAGACAGGAAGGAGGTGGTCTGTGACAGTCATTGTCTTGGAACATAGACTGAAAAAACTGAATCCCTGAGCTGACATCTTTTCATGTGTTTTTTTATCCTTTACTGATGCTTTGCCATATCAAGCCAGTTATATGCTTTTTCCTCACATGTAGCTGATTTGAGTAGTCACAAAGCATGCTTACAAGCACATGGCACTGTTAGTGTAGGGATCCTCTGCGTAAAGGATGCAATGTAAGCTCAGAAATATGCCCACCTGTAGGTGGGAGGTGCACAAACAACACAACAAATCTGTTTCTCCAATTATTTGATTCAGTGAGCTCCTAGTACCTGAACTACTTACCTGCTGCTCCATAACCAACTCCTGTCTTCTTCACATCTAGTGGTGAAAGGATCTATCCGAAATGTTTCCCACGATTCAGAGAACCACATGTCACAGGTTGATGTCAGCATCCAGAAAGTCTACAGACAGAAAAACAGGATTTTCCAGCAGGATGAAGCAAGTGGTGAATGGAGAGGTCCTATACGAACCCTGCTGCAATGCAAGGTGAAGAAGGGAGGTGGAGATTTCCTTTTCACTGGAAATGAACATTTTGGTGAAGCTTGGTTGGGCTGTGCTCCTCGGTTTAAGGATTTCATGTTCATTTACCGGGCTGCCAGAGAAAGAGGAGCCAACCCATGTGAGTTTCAGCTCAACTGACAGGAGTGACACTGGAGCTGAGAGTTGAAAAATTTCAGCCCTGTTTTTGGATACCGAGTCTGAAGTAGAGTTAAAACCAAGGACTAAAGCTAACAGTTTCACCAAAACTGGGGCCTGGAGAATTCCCTGAAGATAATGGCTCTGTGAGCCCTGTAAACTCTGACTTTTAATCCACATCTTCATTAGTTGCATTAATTTCCCCTTCTTCACATCTTCTTTGCCTCACAAAATAACTGAATTTTTTAAAGGTTATCCGTTTTTTTTTGTGGTTAGAAAGCAGCTTGTGTTCAGTATTACAAAATTCTCTCTAACATCTTTTGCTCTGGGTACATACTACATGCTTTTTCTCTAGATTTTTATTCTCTCTTCCCGCATCTCTACTTGATTTTCCTTCCGAATGGCTTTTTTGGATGAATGCTAACTATAATCTTAGCCATAGTTACTAAACCTTCAGGCAATTGGCAGGTTTGGCAACTTTTTTCCCTTCTGTATGTTAGCAGATTAACTAAACCTCTGGGGTAGAATCAGAGCTGATAGAATTCTGCAGTGTAGTGTCTGCACAGTTGACAGTGTCTGATGTTGTTCCCCGTGCAAACAGGCAAATGAGGGTTACTGCACCTTAGTTAATACAAACACTAGCACTGTATGCCTACCAGATGAGAAAAGGTGTTTGGGAAATGCATTTAAATAATCAGAAGTTTTGGTTGTAGCATTGTCTGTCTGAGAATGTAATATTTGGTATTCATAGCACTGGGCCCACAACTAGATCTAGTTGTTTAGTGCACAGCAGGAAAGACCTAAGTGAACGGGCCATTGTAAAGTATTGGAGGATTGTCCTGATTTTGGCTGGGATAGAGTTAATTTTCTTCCCAGTAGCTGGTACAGAGTTGTGGTTTGGATTTAGTATGAGAATAAAGTTGATAACAGTGTTTTCAGTTGTAGCTAAGTAGTGTTTATATGAAGTCAAGGACTTTTCAGCTTCTCATGCCCTGCTGCTAGGAAGGCTGAAGGGGCACAAGCAGTTGGGAGGGGACCCAGCCAGGACAGCTGACCCCAACTGACCAAAGGGCTATTCCATACCATATGACATCATGCCCAGTATATAAACTGGGGGGAAAGCTGGCCAGGGACCACTGCTCAGGAACTGGCTGAGCATTGATTGGCAAGTGGTGAGCAACTGCATTGTGCATCACTTGTTTTGTATATTCTATTTCTTTAATTATTATCATATTATTATTTTCTTAATTTTCTGTCCTATTAAACTGACTTTATCTCAACCTATGAGGTTTTGTTTTTTTTTTTCCCCCAATCCACTCCCCCATCCCACCGGGTGGAGGGTGTGAGGGAGCAGCTGTGTGGTGCTCAGTTGCTGACTGGGGTTAAACCATGACAAGGATGTACAGGGATATCTGAGTATTTAGACTTTGAGAGCTGGAGATCAATCCTGTATTTGAGATTTTAGATGGAGTACTCTTCTTTGGTTGGTAGTTACACTGTAAATATGAGATAAAATACATTTTTTTAGTATAGATTGGAGGTACTACATTTCTTCTTGTTTTGTATATTTGTAGATGTGAAACTTTTGTGGGCTTTTGCCTTTTAAAGGGGCATTTCTTATAGCATTAATGTCATAATTAACATTTGCTTTCATAGAACATCATGCCTTTGAAATAATGTGTTCTTTTTAAAGCATATAAGTAGTTTAGTGAATGAGTGGTTGAAAAACTAAAATAAGACAGTGTGAAGTAAAACAACATACTTAAAAATGCGTATGATGTGGTGATTTAATCCACAGCTCTGTGGACTTGTCAGCCTTGTAATGAGCAACTTGAAATCAGTTAGAATAATGAAGATCTTATTAGAGATCATGGATGTTAGATATATTAATTCTATTTGACTGTAATCTCCCTGTATTGTGTAAAGTTGAGATAACTATCACAGTATCGGAAACTAGTAGAGATATCCGCATGTTTCCAAGTGGTAGGGTAAAAAGTTTTTTTTAGAGAAAATCTTTTGTTTTCATTTGTTTCAGATTTTAAACAAATATTCTGACTTTTCTGGGGAAAACATAATGTTTAGAGAAAGTTCTTCTGTGCTAAATTCGGTAGTGCTACTGCTGTTTACATTTGGTCTAAATTTCTTCCAACATCAAACCTGAGGATGCTTAGATACAGACATGAGTAACAGTGGGGCAAAGCGGCTAGTGTTTTATTTGGGATAAAATGGAAAATTTCAATCAGTGGAAGAGCAGTAAGGTAGTTGAAGAATAACATAAGACCAGGTCATACGCTCTTTATTTTCAGTGACTTTATTACTGTGACAAGGTGGACAGCCATTATCACAGCAAGGAACTGTGGTTAGGTCAGGGCATTTTAATTTTGTCTCCTGGTGTTTTAAGCTCTGTCAGCCTAGGGTGATACTGTGGATTTCCAACTACCTAGTTTCAAGGGCAGCAAGCAGTGTTTCTTCCCCTGGTATCTTATCTCACATAGTTTCTAACTGAACCAGAGTCCTTTCTTTAGCCACAGTAGAATAAAAGCTAAAGGGGAATAATCTTCCTTGCACTGGCTGTATTAGGTGATGTATCATAGGAGCCAACAGTTGCATTTATGTGCTCATTTTAGTCTTCTCAGACATCAAGAAGTTGAACAGACAGATAAAACATATTATGCAAGCGGTTTGCAATACCCCACTGCTTCATTATATGTCACTGAATGTATCCCAAATTCACCCACACTGCTTAATTTGCCCCCCTTGCAAAAGAACAGGCAGAGACCAGTTGTATGGAGGGCATGAAACATTGAAACCAGCAAAAATTAAGCCAATTTGTAAAGCTAGAAAGGTGGACTGGGAGTAAGAGAGGTGAACAGCAACAAGGAGTTTAAGCTACAGCTGATAATTCTTGCTTAATGGTTGGAATCAGCATCTTCCACAAAGCAGCAATCTTCCATGTAAGATCTGTTCTATTGCTTGTTCCTTCCATAGATGATAATGCCTTTCAAAAGAGTCCTAGACATCCTAAAGGAGATGTAATCAGTATGGTTCCAGAGATCTATTACAGAAAGTTACACATCCCAGGAGTTTGTCATTCTGTGTTCAATAACCATGTAGAAGAAGAAAGCGTCTTTTATGTCACTAAACAAACTCTTCATTCCATTGTTTCTCAAAAATTCTGTGGATTTTCCTCCTTTCAAGATGGATAAATAGGGCCAGGCAGCCTTGCAAAAGCACAGTAATTCAGGGAACACGTACCTAAAAACAGAGTAAGGTTGCCAATAGCATGTTCATGTTTTTTTTCAGTCTTTGGGCACCAGTTTCTCAAACTGCGTACCGGAAAATTGGGTCACAAGGGGTTAAATACGATCACTGCTTCACATATGGAGAGTTGAGGCAATGAGAGAATTCTTGGTGGAATTTGAGTGCCAGCTCTCATTAGTGCCGACTTTAAGATTGGAGCTAGACCTACTATGGGGAAGCGGGGACCTAAGTTACGGTCAAAACGCATTTGTGAACAACTGCAAGCAAAGAAGTGATTTTCTTTCTTTACTGTCCTTAAATTTAACCCAATGAATTATCTTTACTGAGGAAAGCATGTTGCACATTTTCTCCTTGAGCACTTCAAGCTTAAGTCTTTCAGCTTCTTCCAGGAAGGAAGTGAAGCCTTTTCCATAATCCTTCTGATCTGTAACATTTCATAAAGCAGCAGGGCTCTTTATGCACTTAATCATTTGTTCTTTGCTGGACTTGTGCCTGATGTGTAGATAGAGAATCAAAAGAGGGGCAGGACGTTCTCCCATTCATTGAAAGACAAAAGAGCAGCAAGAATCTCTAATGAGCCTTTGAATGACTGGAGCAACACCATGAAGTAAAAGTTTGTGAATAGACACTGCGGGCTAAGTGTTCCTGGCTGATTTGAATGAGATTTTGACTGCTTACACCAGAGCGGATTTGGCCCTTTTTGAATGCAGCTGGTCTTTTCCTCATGTCTACCTTGCCTTTTCTGTGCAGTTTCAAATGCACTGAATTTTCAACACACCATTCTGTAGGAAATTAATTACATGAATACAGGCTTATTCCCTTTGTTAGGGGTTTGACTCATTCACTCCCTTTCTCCAATTCTATTATAATTTTTAAGGTAAATGTTTCAATATTTTTCGCTGAAATGAAAGCTCAACTTTTGTCTCAAACAAAAGGATAAGAACCCTGTTTGTATAACAAAGTAGGACGATAAGTCTTCTGTCACAGTATGAAATGGGAAAGTCATGGCTTTCAGAGCAGGAAAGCATATGAGCTGTGTGCCAGAGTCTCAAAATTGGGGGTTTATGCTGAGCTGTGCCTCTGACTCAAGTATCTAATACCTTCTGCTGTCAGTGAGAGAGACCATGTTTTAACATCTCTCCTACAAGCTCATGCTGCACTCAGATTGGTATGCTGAATTTCAGCGTGGGAAGAGGAATAATTTTTCCTCTTTTTCTGTCCTTGACCAAGAGTCTATCTTTCTCCCCTTTTTAATGGTCTTGATCTCATTCTATCTAAATCTGGCAAGGCTTCCAAAACAGTCATGGAGAGTCAGAGTTAAGAATATTTATAGTTTTTCTAAATGCTTATCTTCATTTCAAAATTATGAGGTTTGTTTTCAGTACAATGCAATGATAATTTAGAGATATGTAATTCACGCTTCTGTAATCAGTACAGTCATATTTAACATACTAATAATTTTGTCTCAGGATATAATCCTAATGATTTTTGAGAAAGCCATTGCTCTATCTTCAGGGAAATAATATCTCAACAGTTAAAGGAATACTCTCACTGTCATCCATAGACAAGTACCTGAAATAAATTGGGGGCCAGCAGGGAGTATACAGGCTTCAGGTCCGCTGTCAGACCCACAATTACAGTGTGCCACAGAGCAACAGCCCTCTTCACTTTGAATGTGAAAAGTTGCAGCTAAATTGCAATGTCCTTACCTATTACAGTGCCAAGATTAAGGGTAGCCAAACTGCTCAAGTGTCAGCTTGATGCAAAATGAATGCTTGACTTGAATCCTAGGAAATTTACTTTTGCAAGAATGATATTCCTGATTCCAAAAGAGAAACCATTATACTTCATTGAAAAATATTGCTGATAATTTGATGTAAAACTGTTTTCAACTTCTTATAAATGGAACCATACATGAATTCCCTTGTTGCAGTCAGGAGAATAAAAGTAGGATTTGTGGGATTAGTCTCCTAAGGCACAACATTCCTTTACAGACAGATGTGGAAACTCTCTCTAACTTGGGGGAAACCCTAACCCTAAAGCAAAAAAACCCCTTTCTTCCTCCACCAAGAACTACTTGTTTTTTAAAATGGAACATAGGTGCTGTAAAAAGTACAAATTATTTTCTTACATTGAAAAACACCAAGGAGATTAATACAAACACAGACAAAATAAAACTAACTTACCTCCTTAAAGCTCTGTTGATCTAATTTAGGATCAAGAATTGTTCATTATGGTATTTTCACTTAAATTATCTGCCTCTTTTCAATTAGCTTTTATTATTTTAATGGTGGCTCCTCTCACCCTCCTTTAGTGCTTTGGCTGGACTCACATAATTGCCTATATTTTATGTAAATTGAATTGTTACACCGTAAAACGATATACAAATGTGTCTACCACACAAAGTCCAATAAATGGTGTGAATAAACCCATTATTTTCAATGTAACGGCATCTGATAGCAGCCTGGGAAACACAGGGCTGACAGATGTGAGCCCATGACAAGGCCTGGAAAAAAACTGAATGAGGAACACTCTGACAGACCACAATTAATTGACTTTTGAAATAAGTCCTTTTTTTCACAGTTCTACTTGGCTGAGCAAGATTCACAAATTGCTGTCTTGAACTTTTTAATGGGACAAAATAGCTGCCAATGAAAGTCTAAATGACATGAACTTTGAATAGGAGTCATACAATGGCCACACCGTGACATGTTTTGTAACTGACATATTGATTATTTGAGAAGTAGCAGCCACTCAATTGGGAAGGAATCAGAAAGAGGGGGAAGAGATGGGAGTGATTCAGAGAACTGGGTATAAAAACACAGTGTTAAACACTAGCTAAATACAATTTTATTTTGGGAAGAGAAACCAATATTGGGAAACATCCTGATAAACGTTTTCACATGTGTTCCCAGAAAATATGATTTGGAGTCCAAGTCTGTTGTTCCTTTTGCTGTGAAAAAAAGTGATCACAAAGCTAAATCAAGAAGAAATTACACTAGCAAGTAAGAAAACAAACCTTGTATGAGTAATTGAGCATGCTGACTTCTATGGGATTTCAGTACCTGCTTGAGACCCAGGCTGTAGTCACAGTCAAGTTTACACAGGCTCAAAATATCTATTTGTCTGTCTTTGGAAACGGAGGCCAAACTCTGGCAGACCTAATTGACCTCTTAATCCCAGGGACATCATGGGACAAGAAGTTAGTAAAGATGAGGGTTTGGGCTTTTTCCCCCTCGTTTTTGTACTACCTGCCATACTGATCAAGCAGTACTGTTGTCTGTCTCTCTGGGAACTCTTCAGAGAGTTTATTCCCCAAAACCTTCAGTAGCCTAATTCACTTGTAAGTGGAAGAGTCTTTAAAAGTTTTAACTTGTTTTGTGGGTGCCTTTGTTTTGGCTAATTTTTAAAAGTCTATTGAGCCACTAGAGCAGGTCCTTGTTGAGCTGCTTTCCACTGGCCACACAGAGGCAGCAGCTTGCAAACCACAAGCCCTTTGGTTTGATTCCACTGAGCAATATTAGGAATCATCACCCATTGCTGCTTCCAGATGTAACTTAAGCTGGCAGATGCTGGGCATGACTTAAGGCTTTTTTAAGCAATCGCACTGCACATACCAACTCCTTAGTTGTTTATCTCCCTCCAGCTGATGACCATGTTTTTGCTTACCCAAAAAGGTCTCCAGTTTCATTTACAGGATAGGATGTTCCCCTCATCCTCTGCAAGAATACAGTGTTACTGATAAAGGGTGTGTAGCTCAGGTGAAAGAGATAGTTTAGGACAGCATTTGACAGTCCAGTGGATAGCAGAGCTGTCCTTTTCTCTCTTCCTCAGTTTTCATGACTCAGTGAGTTATGTAGTGAAAGACCTGTTATTCGTACACTATAGCATCTTCATTTCTGTCTTTGTTACTGCTTGCTCTGAGCAGAGAACAAAACATTTAGAGTTAGGGTTTACCATGAGTATTTAATTAAAAATAGCACAATTCATTCACATTACAGCTGAAAAGATCAACAACAGTCAACTTCTAAAACAGTTACAGGCACAGACATAAACCAGATGGCATAAAATCTATGTCTGTTGCCCTGACAAGGTTGTCTAGCTGACACATCTATATGAAATAAAATAGAGTATACATACTGAAGTAAATGGCTGATTTATCAGTACAATCAACAGGTTTATCATTATACAAGCATTTTGCTTTTCTAACTGCAGTATTTTACTGATGAGTTTCATTGAAGAAAGGATTAAATCTAAGCAGATTAATGTATTTTCAGTGGGCAAGCATTTCTCCATTTACTCACTTGTACGTTAATATGCAAATCATTCTATATCCTCATGGCTTTATTAACACCAGAATTAGTGCTTTTTCTAGACTGGAAAAGTTGGGTTCTTTATAGTATTAAAAAGAGAGGTATACTTAAAATGCATGCTTGGATCTATGTTTTGTTTAAAACTAGTACATCTTTGATAGTTACTGGCTGAGTAAAAACACTCCAGCTGTATTGAAAAGGCTTTTGAACCATTATTTATCATGCTGTAACTAATATTTTTTAATGTTATATCGTGCTGTAACTAATATTTTTTAACGTTATATGACCCCAATGTTTCAATGTATCCATGATATCTGAAGCTAACCGAAGTAACAGTTTTCAGAATTGCAGCAATTCAGTTACACAATTCTCATTTCATTCCAAATTAACAGAACCTCATTCTATCATTTCCAGTCATTCATAGCACAATAGAAAACAAACAAAAAAGAGATTCAGGAATACCACAGCAGGCTTGTTTCACTGCCTGTAGTAATCCAGAAAATCTTACGTGTTATATACTGGTGATCATACACCAGTGTAATATTAATGATCCAACCTTGTTCGACATGGCAGAATAAGAGCTCTTCTTTACTTTGCTTAACTATCACTCCAGACTATGGCTAAAGAAACCCAAAGACTTAGAGGTTAATATTAAACACCCCTTTAAAGTCAAGAAGCAAGCCATAGAAAATGTGGACTTTCTCTACTGCACAAACCACCAGAGCACTTTTTCCCCACGAACAAGGGGACAGAGTACTCTTTCAGCACCCTGCTGAGTGGGTCTGCAGCCCTGTGGCACAGCCAAGCAGCTGTAGGGACAGGATTTCTCAGAGGAAACTGCTCTTGTCCCTCACGGCTGAAAAACTGGAAGTGCAGGAAAAACAGTTTTGTATTCATTGTTGGCTGCTAGCAGGACACATCCTCCTTCCGCACCTTTTGAAGTGTTCTGCTTGGTTTGGTAGTTTTAGCGCTGACTGTGCTTTGGAAAGCTGAGACCCTTGAGATAGTACAACTACTCCAGAGACAGTCATGGCACTTTAAGGTCCACCATTGATTCCATATCCTATTCTGGCCAAAGAAATGGAAGTGTCTTATCAGCCTTATGCTATCGTTGACAAAGCACTGAGAGTTTACAAACCAAGTCAAAATAGAGACACCAAGCCTGAATTCCTGCAAGTCTCCCTCTAAAGCACTCTGGCTAATATGAAATGTAGTCAGAGAGGTTCTTCTCAGCCTTCTAACAATTCCCTTCCAAACTGCCTGCAGTAGCTTTGTGTTTTATTTCACCAAGTCCCATAAGGGGGAGTTTTACAATCAAAGTCCAGGAAATCTTTCATGTGAGCTTTCCTGTTCTTCATGGGCTACTATAAGAAATAAGAGTTAGCATAGTAAGCCCAGAGGCAACAAGATACAGGCCCAATAACTATGAAATCCAAATATCTTGATTTCCTACTGATTGGTTTTGAGTTGTTAAGAAAGAAATGCACAAGTACAGATGCCTCTGTAGGTGGTGAGGACTTCTGAAGATGTACCACAACCCAAAGCAAAGAACACCAGGAGAATTAAAAATCCATCCCCGTGGGAATGGACATACATTCTGCTTTGTGCTAATTCCCTGTATGTTTCAAGAGACTAATCTGTTTGCCCGCAGGCTTCATGCGGAGAGAAAACAGCATTTTCTAGGTACTGTGAAAACTGTCTTGAGACTCCTCAAATCAGAGTCCCAAAACCATGTAGGAAGTCCAGTTTCTACCACCTGAACAACTTAGGATACACCAGCAGAGAATACCTTGCCTCCCAAAGAGGAAAAGCTTTATGACAGGAGACTGCTTTAAGTTAACAGCACATTTATGTTTCCTATGCAAGCCAAAAATGCACCCCCTGGACTCCTCAACATACAAAAAAAACACTGAAGAGCCTTCAGTGTGAAAATGTGAAGCATGTTCTGGGTCAGAACATGAGACAGAATGCTTCATCCCACAAGCAATAGTATTACAGAGCACACACTACTACTCTGCAGGATGGCTTCCCGAAGACTCTCTGGTGTATTCCCAGTCTCCAAGTCAACGTCATCTATTTCCTGGTGATTTTGACACCATTTCTTATCCATCAACTCTAAAAGTCTCTGCTTTTCCATTCTGATGAGATTTGTCATATTGGCTTTTATAACTTAGCATCACAAGATCTAAACTTATTGATTTTAACAGTTCATTCTGTACCATCTCATGGAGTTCTACACTGAGAACACATGTATTACAAATCCTGACTATTGACAACAGTCTGCATATAGGGAAAAAGGCAACACTGAGACCTACCTCAAAGCCTGGAACCTGAATTTGTCAAAGAGTTCTTCCCGTTTCTTTCTCAAATTTCTATTTGTGGAACACATTTGGTCCTGAAAATTAATTCTGGGGATCCTTTACAGCAAACCTGCTGTAGTGCTGCAGTGGCTACTGAAAACATTTAACAATGGTTCGTATCATAACTTTGCTTTCAGAAGGACAATCAAGGTCTTTGTAATACCTTCATCATAGTTTTTACTATCATCGATTTACTAAATCACTATCTAAAGGCTTTAGCAAATCAGACCATAGAATCAGCATATTTCCCAAACTGCCTAAAAGACCTAATAATTTTTGTCTCAAACAATCTCTGAGACTTCTTAGACTAAGATATACGAAGAGTTGCTGCAGGACTGATTATCTGCATGTAAGTACTTAGGCAGATTAATTTGGGATATGAGACCTTACTGTTTCACTTGGCAGAGAGAGAGAACAGTGCCACTGGAAAATAACCAGAAGGCAGGGTACAAGGCTTCAGTAAACTGGGTTTTGAATTTATAGATCAAGTTATGCTTCTCCCCCACAGCCATGAAAATCACAAACCCTCCCTCGCAGTGGAGTAGCACACCAATCTTGGTAGCCTTCACGTTGGGTAAGCACTTTTCAACGTCATTATGCCAGGATGATATCTTGGAATTAAACCACTCAATACACCAAGAACTGCTGTTCCGCCCCAGGCGGCTCTCTGGCCCCTGCCGGCGCATGCTACCGTAGCAAATGCCAATGCCACAGAAGTTGTTCTGCAGCAGTTCCACTTCCCAGTAGTGGATGCCTCTCTTGAAGCACTGGAACCCCAGCACTTGGGAACAATCGGTGAAGCGCTGAGGGTGGTGGTTATAATTCAGGGAGGTGTCTGAGACAGACATCTTGGTGTATTTCTCAGACAGAATCACCTTGTTATGAGCTGTGTTGTAGTCCAGCGTGATGTTAGCAGCATCTGCAATGACATGAATCATTTGAAGGTACTGAAGAGCAAAGCACTTTTATTTATACTGTCCTGCCTAAGCACTTGCTCCTATGCATGTTTATCTTCTTGCTCTGCTCTCCTCCACAGTGCAGGCAGTTCTTGGGACCACAGTAATAGCTGCTGGGTTCAACTGCAGCTCTGTGTTACGCAGCAGGCAAATAGAGGGCAAGTTTGTTTCCTTCAGGCATCCCCATGGGACTGCTTCACCACCCAAATACATGCTGGCAGAAGAAGGGGATTGCCGATCTGGCAGCAGAAGGTATACTATATTGTATACCATCTAGTACAGCACCTTAAGCAAGCCATCATGGGCTCGCATAAAAGCCTGCATTTCATTTCAAAGAAAAATCCAGTGTGTTACGTCATATTTCTAGGCTACCCTAACGCAGTCATTTTGGGGGAAACAAAAGCCATTACTGAAAAAACTTCATTTACCTTCATAAAGATACATGAACACCAAAGATAAATTTGATTCATCTGGCAAAAGAACCACTTAGAAACCTCCTTCCCACTTTTGTTCCAAAAATTTTCTTTACTTGTAACAACCAGTTGATAACCAAGCTAAGCCCCCTCAAAAGTATTTTTTCCAAATAACAACAAAGGGCACATAATATCAGTGCAGAAAATTCATCTTTAAGTAGTGTAACATCAGGTGTCTTACACTGCAAAAGCTCCTCTCTGGATTTCTTCAGAAAGCTGTCAATAAGCTCTTTAGCTGAAACAGCAGCTGCAGCATTTAGTGTCCCCATGGCTGGTGCTGTATTGACAGAAGACAAGAGTTTGGCTAGTTGGAAAGAACCCCCACATGCTTAACACACCAGAGACACACTCAGGTTGGGGTGGACCTCGAGAGGTCATCTGGCTTAGCCTCCTGCTCCACACAGGGTTAACTTCAACATTAGCTCAGGTTGCTCACTGTCTTGTCAAGTTTTGAGAAACCCCTGTTGTCTCTGGGCAACCTCTTTCAGTGCTTGGTCGCTCTCACAGTGATTAGTAAGAGCCTTCTCAGAGCAAGAGTTGAACTTTCGCTTAATACAACAACAGTGGTGACCATCTACTTAACATTTTAAGATCAGTCAATGAAAATTAGGATAAGTAGGACAAAATTTTGGACTCACCAACTTTAACGGGTTTCTTTTTCTCCTCTGGGGGAGGGAAAAGAAAAAAAAAAAAAAAAAAAAACAATGAACTGTGAGTTCTACTAAGACTGAAAAGCCACTGATAGACTATGCCAGCTCTAACACCACCATCATGGCTCTTCTGAAGCTGCAGCAGTACATAAAGCTGACAGTCCAGCATGCTGAAGCCATGTACAAATACGGCCATACTGGAAAGCTACACTTTGAAGTACAGCCTACTCTTTGCTTTCTCTTTCACAGGGTCATAAGCCTGGAAGGAGCTTCATTTCTACTCTAGGATACAGCATGTTAGGGCAAGGGGCAATTACCCTGCTCCCACGAGGCACACAGACTATTCCTTTTTACAACAGATCTTCTAGTGTAGCAACAGGAGATACAACTTCATTTAACTCCAGCAATCCACAACAGACCCTGTTGAGTGCTCCACACGCAGGATTTGTGAATGGTAAGGACCATGTGTCAAGAGCTCAGTGGAAGTAACAGAAGTACTTTAACACTTGAATTTATTTGGATCATTATTTGGATCTTCCAAGTGTGCTAGAATGCCGCATCAATACCAGTATCTGGACATAACAACACTGAAAGGCCCCAGTAAAACTTGCCATGAAGACTGTCTCCATCACCCCAGCCTTAGACTGTAAGCGAGACATGGTCAGCAAAATATATGAGTAAGGCTGCTATTAATCATCACTTACTGGTATCTGCCTCCACCTGTGAAGTGGTTTGAGTCTGGTGAAGGATTTTCTCTTTGTGGGTATGCTCTGGTGAAGTGGGGGAAAGAGAGAAAACAGAACATGAACAGCTCATAAGCAGGAGTCAATACATACAAATCGATCAAACAAGCCAACAGATATTCAGTACAAATGAAAAAAAAAAAAAAAGCCTGAAAGAACCAGAGGGTGAGGAGGCTCCACTTTGCTTTACAGCCTGCGCTGACACCACTACAAGCACACACCGAGGCTAATGCACCATCGTACCTGCACAGTTTGCTGCTTTACAGCTCACAAGGCATCCATCAGTAAATAGCCCAAAACACCCTCCCTTTCCCATGCCAAAGTGTTCACTACAGATAATCACTGCATCACCGCTAGAGCAAAGAGCTCTCAGGTAACTGCTCAAATTCTTATTTAATAGTAAAACCATATAGAGGATGATGTTCTTGAGTACTTACGTGGTCCTGGAGGCTTCTTTCCAACAGTGATTTTGTTTGAAAAAGGTGCTGGAGGGGGCTTAGTTCTTCCAGATGTTAGTTTTGCTGCAATGGTGATATTTTACATTATGGTTTGTATTGCCAGGAATAGTAATGCATTAGTGAGAGCATTTTTTTAATCTTATTTTTCAGTTATGTGAATAGAACTTAAGTGATACTTGGCAGAGATGGAAACTGCACAGAAGATACCCACGTGCCAGTCCAAAAGATACTCCTGCTTAATACAGTAAGTAGAGCTTTGTTCTACAACACTTACATGATCAGCACCTTTACAGTTTGGTAACCATAGTCCTATCACTCTCAAATGTTTTATGTCTTCCCTCAAATTCACATTTTAACTGCACCCAACCCTGCTACATAATAAAAACATAAATTACTATAAGGAATAAAGGCTGAGCTGTGCCAGAAGGGCATAGTATCACGATACACATCAGTTCATCCAAGTACAGATAAAAGTGGAGAGACACTGGCACATTTTTTCTCATAGTTTAACCCAGTCTGTAGCATTTTTATATGGAAATAGAGGACTGCAGAAGTTGGAAGACACAGTTTACATTAACCAACTGTATTTGCTGCACTACTTTTTTAAATGATATTTGGAGGGGGAAGATCCCTCCTTTGAGCTCAAAGCCAAGGCAGAAAAGAAAATGCCAATTCTCCCTGTGATACAGTACCTTCTGCTCTTTTCTCCTTAGACTGAGTCACTGACTGTTTCACAGTGTCTTTAAGGTTAATGGCAGACTGATAAGCGGAATGTATCAAGTTTTGGTCCATTTCAATTACAGGAACAAAAGCATCTTTTGTTGATGTTTGTTGCAGTACTGCTGCTCTCTGAAATGACAAATGGAAGATCTCATGCAGACCACCTTGTGTAGCAGACATAGAAAAATACAACCAAGTTACTTTAAATGGAGTAGGGTTTGTGCAGTCAGCTCAAATTCAAAGGAGCAAAGGCTACAGTTAGACATGGCCCATGGCAGAATTTCAGGAGCAACCCACAGCTGGTATCTGAAGCAGCAGGAAAGATCTACTGGACGGTATCAGAGCACGGAGCTGCAACACCTCATGGAGGTGTGTTCTCTCACCCGCTAGCCCCTCTGCTTGCAGGAGAGGTAGTGGCTGAATTGGGGGGAGTTACAGACACCACTTCATTTCAACACTCTGTCACTGGTATTTGTGTACCTATTAATACATCCTTTTATAGCAGGTTGTTGTACATGACTGCATTACCATTTGACTGAAAATGTCTGGAGGGCAGGACTACCACAGCAGGCTTTTGCGATTCTGCATTCTAGAAACATGAAGAATTGGATTCGCATTTAAAGGACATAGTACCTTCAAAAACAGAATGTCATCATCTTCAGTCAGTGCCTTCTCAATCTGATCTCTGAGAGACTGAATTTCATTCTTCTTACTTCCCAGAATACCATAAATATAATCAAACTTATTGCAAACTCTTTTTTCTTCATCTGCAATTACTTTCAAGCTCTGATTTTCTCTTTCTTCAACTAAAGCTTTAATTTCTAAAAACTCACTTCTGATCAAATCTTTCTTTCTGGAAGCTGACTCCTGGAACACACAAGAACAGACAGACACTGGTTTCAAAAGCACAGTTTGTGAACAAAGTACTGCTTACTACTACTACAAGAAAGCCGTTGAGGAACACGTAGGCTTCAATTACTTGAGACCAGCTATAGAAAAGCTATGTGCTTTGAAAGCTATGTAGTTTGAAAGCAAACTCATTTACTCCCAAGGAATCAGGACAATTCTCAGTTTCCATATCCCTGCTGTGGGGCAGAGGCCAGGCCAGGCATCCAGCAGCCACCAGCACTGGGATGGGGCTGTGCCACTACAAGCCCGGACACCGCACACCCACCTGCACTGCTGGAGCTGTTTCTGCCTCTGAGATGTGGCATCTCTTGTTAATACAAAGTTATTCCTGATCGTCCGAGAGATGTTCCAGAGGAGCACAGAAGTGCTACCCAGCCGCTTTGCCATTTCTTGGTCTCTACCACTTGGTTCAGAAGGGATGGTACAAGTGAGATGTACCCAATCCAGCTGTCAGCACAAACGACAACCCTGGTCATCAGCTGAGAGCAAGGATTAGTTGTGGTAATTTATGGGGAAGAGCCATCCCAAATTTCTGCACTGGTGCACCCATTACAGCTCACTAATCCTTCAGCTTGGGCTGCATAGACACATGTTTTCTGATGCAACAGGAAAGGATGGGTTTGAGCCCCATTACTGGCCGGGTGTGTCAGCACATGCGAATATAAAACCCTTGCACAGTGGCTGGTTTACTCCAATCTCCCACTGAGCTGTCTGACTCAGGAAAACACCCTTCTGTTCCCTCCCAATAATGTCTTCTCCTGCCAGTGCCACCTCACTACTACAGCTGCTGTCACAAGAGTACCAGCATCAACAACACGCAGTGGCCAGTATATGCCAAGCAACCTGACAGCATTCAGAACAGTTACCCACTTACAGCAGTTTGGCTTTGGTTTGTTTTCACAGTGTTCATTGCCCGAGCAGCTCTCTCACTCTGGTTATGCAGCTCCACAAGTTTCTTCTTCAGCGCCGACTGCAATAGGAGAGATCAGAAGGTGTTTCACAGAAACAGTTGCCATGTCTGCTCCCAGGTCATGCTTACTGGAGTAAGAATCATATTTACAAAAAGTTTTAAATAACTATAGTAAGCATTTAGTACTATTGGTTTAAAACCTACTGCTTCTTAAAGCTTACAGGATGTAAAAGTATTCTTCTGCATGTATGGCTCCTGAAGCTGGCACCCTCCCGGCAGCTCCACCTCTCCCTACAGCAAGATGCACGCTGTTGACTGGCTCCTGATAAGGGCTGAGTGCTTTCATCAGCACAGCAGTTCCCAGTGCTAAGAGGAAATGTTACGTTAACTCCCACGTTGGACTTTGGGCACTAGGTTAACACTACTGTTCACCCATCTCGTTTTAATTGAGAATTCTCTTGCTCAGATGTGAATTACCTATCCCTTTAAGTTCAAGATGCTGCCAAGCTCAATCAGGGAGGACTTCCAAGGGTATGCAGTACACATGCTCACTGAACAGATGGGAGTTTGGCCACCTAAACTTTTCAAGCACGCTTTACTCTTCTACCCTCTGATTGTAAGATAGAAAGGCCAGGTTTCCCTCCCTTCCACTCTGTGGAGAGCCTCCAGGCTTTTATCTACGTGCTAGAGATCTCCCAATGCTACTTTTAGAATTCTTTGCTTCTTAAGAAGTACACGGAGCAACATCTGTCTACAGTTCCTCGGTCAGCCTGCAGCATGGCCACGCAGTGAGCCCCGTGCAGTGAGCAGCAGAGGAGGCTTGGAGTTGTGGGTGACACCTGGGTCTTGCCGGCCAGCCCAGCCCAAGGCAGGAGCTGGCCATCAGCTCCATGGCAGCGCCTTCCCAGACGCTCAGAGAGAGGAGGAAAACCCAAGGAATGACTCTGAAGACGCGCTTGAGTGTGCGTTGGAGGACGGGTAACAGTTTGCCAAGGCCAGGCTTGAGATGTACAGTTCAAGTCTTGGCCCAGCCTCCCCTGGGCTCTCCACAGCCCACAACCCCGCCACCCAGGGCCCCAGGGGAGCGAAGGGGAGCCCCGGGGTGCCCCTCAGAGGGTGCTCCAGCCCCGGAGAGACCCTCCCGCCCCGGCCACTCACCTCGACGTTGGCTTTGGCCAACTGCAGGGGACTGGTGTGACACAGCTTGTGCTCGAGGAGGCAGAGGGAGCAGATGCAGCTGCCGTGCTGGCTGCAGAAGAACTCGAAGAGCTTGTTGTGCTGCGGGCACTTGCGGCGGTGCAGGTGGCGGAGCGGCGGGCAGAGCTGGTGGTCGCGGAAGGCCGGGCTGTCCTGGTGCGGCCGCAGGTGCTCGGGGCAGAAGGAGGCGATGCAGGTCAGGCAGGTCTGCGAGGCCGGTGCCCGCAGGCAGCTGTCGCAGTACACGGGGCCCGTCTCTGCCCCGCACCCCACCGCTTCCTCCTCCTCCTCTTTCTCCTTCTTCTCCTCCTCCACCCCGACCCCGGCGCAGCCCTGGAGCTGCTCCACCACCCGGCACAGCACCGTGTTCTTCTGCAGCTGCGGGCGGCTCGGGAAGATGAAGCGGCACTGAGGGCAGCTGAAGTTATTCGCCAGCCCGGCCCAGGAGAGCTCCAGGCAGGAGGTGCAGAAGTTGTGCCCGCAGGGCACCGTCACGGGGCAGCTGAAGAGGCAGAGGCAGATGGAGCAGGTCAGTTCTTCCTCCAGCGCCGCCAGACCCGGCTCGGACGAGGAGCCGGCCAGCCCCGCCATCGCCCTGACTGCCGCTGCCCTGATACCAGAAACGAAACTGTGAGCGCGGCTTTCCGGGAATATCGGCGGCTCCGTCCCCGCCCCGGCGGGAGGGGCGGCAGCCCCGGGCCCCGCCCGCCTGCGGCCTGGCCGGCTCCGCGCCCGCGGAGCTTCCCGCCCCGGGCCGGGCCGGGCGGCCGCGGGGAGCCGGGCTGGGGGTGCTCCCGGCGCGGATCGCCGGGCTCGGGGCTGAGCTCGGCCGCCTTCCACGCGTGGGGCGATTCCCGGAGCGAGGGGGGCGGCCCCGAGCTGGGCGAGGCCGGTGCGGCGTCGCCCGTCGCAAGCCGCTGTGCCCGGGAGGTCTCGGGTTTGTTTCTAAACCGAAGCGAATCATCGGAGAGGCGAACGCCCGCCCGGAGCGCTGCCCCGCTCCGCGCCCGGCACTGGACGAACGGGAACCGCGGCCGCGTGGGCCCCGGCGCTGTGGGAACGGGCGAACCCCGGCTCCCACCGCACACAGGGCAGAGCTGCCACCAGCCCCGGCTGCCTCCCTCTGAGCGACCGTTAACCTGGCTGCTGAAGATCAAAGCAGCTGCTGTCAACCCGGTGTTTTTAAAGCACACAGGTGACTACTAATGGGGAATGTGGAAAGTGTCTCAACTTCCTCAAATCTATTTTTAACTCTGTCTGTTAAATAATCACTGTTTCTAAGAGAACCATTGGATGCACAATGTGTTTGACTTCTCCTGTTATGATGAACTTGACTCCAAATTCTCCCAAGTGGCCTCTTCCTGTTCCTCTTCTGCCCTGTCTGCTGGTGCCCCAGGGGCTTCCTCAGTGCCCTTCATACTTCCCCACTCACGCCGGGAGCATGGATGAAATGGAGCAAACAGGCACAAATCTGTGACTTCCCAAGAATTTAAACAGAGCCTGGTGGGCTGCAGCAGAAGCCGTCTGCTCTCAACTGCATTTCCAGTGGCCAACGGACACTAAGTGTGGAGAACTGCTGACGTTCCTTTTAGTGTCATTAAAAATCTATTAGCAGGCAACTGTGGGGTTTCTGCGTTGCCATTAGTCCTTGGAGACATCCCAAAATGTTCAGGAAAATTGTATAAAGCACTCAAAGGAGTGGTTTATCTGTTATAATTAGTGCTTTGAAAGAAATTCCTAGCCAGTTATTTTGGAACACTAAATTAAATCTGAGTCGTCATTGTAAATCTACATTATACAGACAATATTGACTTCTACCTACATCAGTAATCTCCAGTCTTGTAACACCCCTTCAGGATGAACTACGGACAGGTCGTGTGTCATGGACTCGAATTTGCCACTTGGTGGTGGTGCAGAAAGGACAACAGGAGGCGTTCAGAGCTGCTGCAGCTTTGAGAGAGGAGCAAAAATTCAGGGATTACATAATCTGTTTGAGGGTGGAAGAGTTTCCAGATGGGCATGGCTCCACAGCTTTCTTGGGACATGCAGATCAGGACTTGGTAACTGCTGTTGGAGGGGATGGGAACACCTGAGGGTACCTGGGAGGTGGCGGTTGCCAGAGTCTGCAAAGGGACGTTCTGACAGAGCTGTGGGGGGTGTGTGACCAGAGAGGTGACCAAAGAGCAGCTGTTAATGTTTATGTTTCTTACTTTTCTATAGGTGAATTAATCACTTCTTCCTGGGCTTATCCAGGCTAAGTCACCTTCAGTACCTTCACAGTATTTTCTGCAGCACTCATCTTGTACTACTGATGCAAAGGTATGCAAATATAAAGGGTGATTATACAGCTTGACAGTTGTGGCTTTTGCTTCTGGAGCAGAACACATGGTACTTACAGCTCAGAGGAGCAATTTAAATTCTCCATTATCAGAGGGCTCAAAATTCTAATTTGAGTAATCCCAACCACTCTTGCTGTCTAAAAACAAACCAAGTTTAATGTTAAAAATTACTGAGGCATTTTACCATTTAAATAGCTACTGAAGTTACTATTCTCTTTGCTTCCTTGCAATTACTTGAGAATTTCTTCATGTGGTTCTGAACTAAATCTAACCCTTTGGCCAGATATTGCTGACTGAAAGTGCCACTCAGAGTCTGAGCAGAAGTTAGAAGCACAGCAGAATAAATTGTTCCTTATGTATATGTGGCTGAGCAAACATCAAGACAGGTGCTCTGACTCTGACTTTTCTGGATTTAATATTCAGAGTGGTTTAAATAGATACAATTTTCCCATAAAAATTCTAAATAACCCCAAATTCCTAAAGAGCTGACACTGACTCTGTGTTTTTGCAAGGTCTGTAGTCAAAGTAGCAAACTTTCAGGTCTTTAAGTCTGTTCAGCAGGTTCTGGCTGCAGGTGCTCATTGTGGCTGTAGGCCTATAGTGTGTTGTGCGTGTGCAACTGTAGCTTGCTAGCTCAAACACATTCTCACATTTTGATTCATGGGACTAGAATTTGTTAAAAAATTGTAACAGAATTTTTAAACAAACCCGTAACGCTAAATTGCATAGAGGAGGGTGGGAAGGAGCCCCTGTGACTCTGGGGCTGCCCCAGCAAAGGGGCTGGAAGGAGACTCCAAAACTCAAGGGGCAGAAAGCATGTGGGGTTTGTTCAGAGCATTACTAGTCAGCCAGAAGCTAACTGTCCATTTCTCTAAACAAATGTTAATATAAAATGGCAACTAAAGAGAACCGCAAAACAAATTAGCTTTACTCATATAAAATGATTCCTTCACAAAGACATTTTAATAGGGATAATGCAAAGGTGTGCAATATTTGAATGTAATCATGCACTAGTCAGCGTACATGTTAGCTAAGCAATGATGTACAATTTTTCAGGTGTTTACGTGTATCTAGGGGGTTTTCTTAAACATCTTCTGTTTAAGAGTCAGCTACCTGTGACAAGGATTATCTTAACTTGTAAAACTTGCCAAGATGTGAGTACTACATGGGTATGAGGAGCCACCTGACTGCTCCTAATTAGCAGATGTCAGTGAACTGCCACCACCTGGTGACCCATTATGCTACTGGGAAGGAAAGGCAGCACAGAAACTTCAGCACATAAAGGGCAAAAGCACTTGCTTTAAAACAAACACACACAAACATTTTCAGAGCCTACACAGATTAACACACTGGGACCCAAGTTTGCCAGGGATTCATGTTACACTCCACTGGTTCCAGGCAAGGTTGACCGTTACCGATACTATTCATCTGCCTCTCAAAATTACAGAAGCTTGAAGTCCACAAGCTTTTCTTGACATGTTCACATGAACTCTAAATAACTGCATGGTCATGGCATTTGTATCATGCTCTGCAGCTGTAGAGGAAGAGGTGTGCAAATCAACAATATATTTAATTTTTAAATGTTGTTTTTAACTATCCTTGCAGCAAGCTACCTCTGTACAGCAGTTACATGGCTCTAGCCAAACCTAGACATTTAAATGGAGGTACTGACAGTACAAGGTTACATTTTATCATTTTGATCAAACCATTCCAGTTCTGCAGCTCGCAGCAGTAGGATATAAAAATTGTTACTGAGCTTCTATTAAGAAAAAAACCCCAACAGACCTGTATTAAAGACTTCCTATAATAAACAAAGTATTCCTGTATTACATAAAAACATATCCTAAGAAAAAAGTGTTTCTTTTTCTTTTGGCATAGTTTCTTTTTAAAACCATTTATTAAAGATAGCCACCAGTGCATCTGCTGCCCTCAGAACCAGAAGGCAGCATTTCACAAAACCAGTCTGTACAATTATTTACATTTGTTCACATCTTAGATTGTTCCATTTTCACTGCTGGGTCCGTTAACTGGAGGCTCAACAATCAGTCTTGGCTCTATCAGTGCATCCCAACTTTCAGTTATCTGAAAACAAAATACAGACAATACTGAGCATGTACAAGCCATACGGGCAGATGCAATTTTTCCTACATTATGCTTTGTCTAGACTTGAACAGCAGCACTACTGAACAGAGATCACAGATCCTTCCTGCAATTCCTCCATCTTCTTCATGAACCTCAACCTGCCCGATGTCCTGGGTAAGGAAAGATGCAGGTAGGATAGACAGCGCATGAAATTAATAACCTTGTAAGAACCGATACTCTCTCCAGACATGACATTGCTTATTTTATTAGCCAAAACAAAAAGTTACAGTTTGGTGACTGGTTTTGAACCTAGTTAACTGAATATCATGCAAGAAGTGATTCTTATCTTGAAATCATGCACATTCTTGTTAGAAAGGAACGGTTATTTTTGCTTCAATTCATTTAATCAGATGCATTATTATAAAGGGAATCTCACAGAGATGAGCAGTTATAAACATACCTTTGTATCCTGAGGAACAGCATACTCTATCAGTTCTGCTCCATCTGCAGACTGGTAAACCAGATCGAATTTCCCTGGCTCTTTAGCAACTTAAAAAACAAACAACTTCATTAACTATAAACAAAAAAGTTTAAATGCCTACCATATTTAGAAAGCTAATCAAAACCAGGTTTGGTTCTGTTTTGTTTGGCTGGTTTTGTTTTTGGGTTTTTTTGGGTTTTTTTGGGTTTTTTTAGTTGGGTGTTTGGGTTCATTAATGTAACAAAAAATCTGAGGTGGAACTGAATACTACACATCAAAATTAAGGTAATTATCTAATATGTATGAAAAAGTTAACAATATGCTGCCTAAATTTGAGAAGTATGCTCATATGATGATGACTCATTAATTCTGGCTTTAAATGTCAACTGCAGTATACACATTCAGTTTCAGAAACGTTCAGTTTCAGGACTCTGAAGTGCGGTTTGTCATTGCAGGGACTCAGTTCCACATCCACTGAAGACAGTGGCCTCACTAACATCGCAAAGAATGGCATTATGATCTAAAATTTTCTCTGTAATTCCACATAATGATTTTAATTTTTTCAGGAAATGACACCACAGTAGAGATGAGTTAACTGACTACTCATATTGATGGGACAAATGTAATTTTGTAAATACCTATGAGCATCTTCAATTCAACTAGCAGGTGTTAGAACTTCTCCATTTAAATAGACTTTTCAGGGAGGGAGTGAGGAGAGAAGAGGTGTGTTGAGAAGGAAC